TGCGATGTAGACAGCGTTGCCTGTCGCAGGAATTTACATCTCTCTTATTTGAACACGGTTTGCCAGTTTTGGTTTGCCACTGCCCTCCATCATTCTTACCATCGTGGCCTCATCTGACCCTCATAACTACCTGTGCCCATGAGGCAAGAGGCAGAAATCATTCCCATTTCTCACAAATGGGAAACAGCTGCCCAGAGAGAGTAAGTGACCGATTCAAAGTCACAATCCTAATTGAAATCTAGGACCTGACTCCAGCTTCCTCTTTTTTTTTTTTTTTTTTTTGTGGTACTAGGGATGGAACTCACGACCTCACACTTGCCAGGCAGGTGCTTATGCCACTGAGCTAAATCCCCAGCCCCCCTGACACTTAATTTAGTACACTTTTCACTATCCCAGGCCACTTTTATGAACAAATTAACAATAAACAGAATGGGCATGCTGAGACATGGAAATCTGCGTGTGAAAGAATGCTGAGCAAGTAGAGCGGAGTGTGAGACGGGAGATAGGCTGGGCGCCTACGTATAAACACTGCAAAGAGCATTCCTAAATTTACAGGAATAATTGCTGCTCAGGCCACTGGGGCTGCTTTTCTGCCTGGCTCTTCAGTGAAAACCACTTCTAGGAAGAGAAAACCATAATTACCTCCTTGGGACAGCAGAATACTTAGGGACCTGAGAGCACCTGGGCAGGGGCGGGGGCACGACTCCTGCAGCCAGAGAAAGCAGGCTCAATGTCATTAAGTCATATTTGGAAAACCAGAATTTAATACCTGTTGTTTTTGTTGTTTTGGTCATTCAGACTGCAGCAAATAAAGCTGGATGAAGCCCCGGAGGCTGGGAGAGACCCACAGAAGCTCAGTGAATTCTTGAGCAGGACTGAGTGTCTCATCCCCAGTGGCTGGCGGGGTGTCTGAAATGCCAGGGCCTGAGAAGGGGGCTGGCTACGGTTTGAATAGTCGAGAAAACTAAATGCCTTTCTGGTTTCTCCAAGTTCTGTCGGGCTGTGTAAAATTCTCTTGATGTGTTACTGATTGTTGCAAGAGAATTTTCTGTATGATGTGAAGTCAGAATTTCTTTCTTTTTTTTTTTCTTTTTGAAACAAGGTTTTGCTATGTGGTTCAGGCTGGCCTTGAACTCACTTCATAGCCTGGATTGGCCTCCTGCCTCAGTCTTCCAGTGCTAGGAATAGGCATGCACCAACACACTACTTTTAAGGACTCCTGCCCCACCCCTTTTATCTCATAAACATGTAGGGCTGCAGATGGTTACTTTCAGACAGTTTGGATTTTTTAGCCTTACCTTGGTTCAAATTGCAGAACTCAGCAGTAGCCACAGTCCAGAGTCAAGGTCTCTCCCTTGTTGCTCCAGCACTCAAGGAGATGCAGCTGGGAACTTGTGCATGGCCCATCCCCCCCCCCCAACCACCACCAGCCCCCACCCTCACTTGGTTCCCTGGAGCTCTGGCTCCTTCCAGCCATCCCATAAACATGCCTGTGGGAAACATGCCCCCCCCCCACCTCTGTGCTCTCTCTTTCTCAATGCTAACTTCTTAGAAGGGTCAATTTTTCCACCTCCTCACCTACCTTCTCTCCCATTTTCCCTACTGTCTCCCCACAACTTCCATCGAAGCCCAAGTACAGCCCCTGTGGGCCCCACTGCCTCTGCTTTGTGACTCCTTGGCTGCTACCCGACACTGTCACCGCTCTCTGCTTCGGGAAAGTCTCTTTGCTTTTGGTCTTTTTGTTTGTCCTTGCCTTATTAGGACTGAGGACAATTATTACTAGTTATTTTTCCAAAATGTTAATGTCCATGTACCTCTCACACTGTGAACTCTAGGACAGAGGCTAACCTTTCTTAATACCTGCCTGGCATAACTAGGGGCCCCTCTATACCTTCCCTTGGTCCTCCCTGCCAGCTCATCCTGTGGCCTGAGCCAGGGGATGGATGGCAAACTTAGGGCCCAGTGCTCTGCAGCAACGCCTAGAGCTGGCCTAATCTGTGTGCCCCTAACACCGAGCCCCTTCCCAGACCCCAGTGCCCCTCAGGCTCTGCTGTCACCAACTCAGCTGAGGATGCCTTAATCTGTTCCCTTTTTTTCCCGAAGAGGGTTTGGACATAAAAATGAAGAATCATTCAGTGAGCTTAAAAGCAGACTAGATACATTGGAGGAAAGGAGCAATGAATATGAAAATAGAAAAAAAAGGAAGAAAATAGAACGGAGTATTTGACATCTGTGGGACAATATATAAAAGTCTGATATGCCTGTAGCTGGAGTCCTGTCAGCCCAGCCCAGATCTTGTCCAGCTATTTCACTTTTATTTTCCTCTTTCATTTTATGTATGGGCTCAAGCACGGGGGAGAATGGAGGGACTGGATATAGGAATTAAAGAATGGGGTTTCAGCTGGGCGTGATAGGGCATGTCTGTGATCCCAGCACTCTGGGAAGCCACAACAGGAATTCAAGTTCAGCCTGGGGAACTCAGTAACACAGTGAGATCCTGTCTCAAAATAAAAATAAATAAAAACATGGCTGGGATGTAGTTCCATCCGAAAGCCCTCAGTTCAGATCTAAGTACCATTAAAAAAAATCCAGTGGGGCTTTTAGACAATCCTGGGATGAAATCTCACTGGTCATTTGCTAACTGTGTGCTCTTGGGTTGGTTCTCTAACTGTCCCTGTACCTTGTTTTTCTCACCTGTTCCTACCTTGCAGGATTAAACAAAAGAATGAAAGGAAAGAGCTCAGCACAAACTCAGATGATGGCAGGCACTCAGCAATGTTTTTATTAACAAATCCATGTGGTCTCACCACCACCATCACCCACACTCTTGCTATTATTTCCATTTATGTACATTTCTTTCCAGATTGGATGTGTATGCAAATTTTTTTCATTTTACATTTTTACAATCATGGTGCATCATACCATTTTGTATTCTTCTATTCTTTAAAAAAAGTTAGCTTCCCATGTGGCTATCAAGTCTTTACTGATGTCATTTTAAAAGACTACCTAACAGCCCCTGCCTTTTTTGTGGACTGACCTTTGTTTTTTGTTTCCCTCTCAGTATAATTTTCCTTGAGCTCCTGGTGTGACAGCAACATGTATCTGGTCAGCCCTTTCCTCCTCCAAGTGGCACCTGGCTATTTTTAAGAGGCAATTCAGGAAGGACGTGTGTGCAGGCTCTGCCACTCGTGCCACCAGCTCTAGACAGATTATCTGCCTAGGCTTCCTCAATGGGCTCCCTTTTCATAAACGATGATCAGTTCTATCCCACCACTTCACAAAGGCCCAGAAGCTCTGCTCCAATGTGTGCACTGCTCACCATTACTACTCGAGGACTAGAAACAGACACTTGGGTACCAAGTTCTTTCTGAGGCAAAAGATCTTAAAATCTTCTCAAGAAATATCCGTAATAATCATGTTCTCTGCCAGGGCACAGAGAAGGCACTTAGAAGATACTGCATAGGAGCAGCAGTGAAGGTGGCAGCATTCAGTGACAGAGCAGGCAGGGGCAGGGCCCCAGCAGACTCTACTAACACACTGCAGCTGCCAATACTGAACCTGGGAATCTCCTCTCATGATTTCACTGGCACAAAGAGAAAACCATCCTTCTGGTCCAACATGCTCACTTCATAGATGGGAATACTGAGGGCCTGAGGGGCAGCGGTGCCTTTGGGCACCATTCTGGATGGCTCCTGAGCTATTTTCAAAGCATCCTGAATGGGTGCCCTTGAGATCTGGAAGCAGAAAGCAGTAGCTCCTCAATGGAAACTAAGTTTGACTTGGCATTACTTTCTGAAAAATGGTCTTTTCAGATCCTTGTAAGCCAGGAGGCTCCTAGGAAACCTGAACACTCTTCCAAGTGGCTGGGGGCACAGGTGACAAAGTGAAGGTGCAAAGAGCTACGTGAGCAGGTAAGGCAGGTAAAGCCCACAGCTCCCAGAGCCCTTGCCTCACGCCAGGTGATGCCTCTGGGAGGAACAGTCCTCACATTGCCGTCAGGACGGCTGACTCTGGGGCTGACCTCAGCTAATTTTGCAGCTCACGAGGAGGACACCACCCCCATATCTGTTCTGCATCTGAAACACCAAGAGAAGCGAGAGACGCAGAGGGATTGCTATTGATTTTCACTTGTGAGGGCTGACCTAACAAAATCAATCCATCATGCGCCTGTCTGCCTCTGCCGCACACGTTTATCCTAACTATGTGCAAATAAATGGCACTGGCGCCCAGGGTGATTCGTCAAGGTCTAGCTGGGTATGGGCCTTGGCTTCCACTGATGGGTTCCAGGCCAGGCTGTACTACAATCAGCCCAGATAATGCACCCTTTGATCTGTGTTGATCAGTGACACTCTGGGAGGCCTGGCAGCTACTGCCACACTGGGAACACCTTTGAGACAGCTTTGAGGAGGCAGCCCAATTCCCATGAGCCTCAACTGTGCATCCTCGCTTGTTTCTTTGTCACTGGATTTTGGAGGGTTTAATAAAGTGTATATGCAACCATGAGGCACTGAATTCTGGTATTGGCTGTACCACTGGCTACATGTCCTTGGGCCAGCTATGAGATGGAGATAATATCGTATACAGGGGTCTAGGACTCATGAAGGTCTCAGGTCAGACCCTGTCCAATCCCAATTTTGCCAGCTCCTGGCTGTGGTCTTGGCAGATACCCCAGGCCTCAGTGCTGTGTTTTGCTCATCTGTACTATGGTACCTACCTCCTAAGGGAGAGGCTGTCAGGGCTGAGAGAGACAATGGAAAGGGCCATAGAACCTCCTACCCTCCAGCTCCTCCTTCCATAGGCAGCAACTGAGGGGCTCAGAGAAAGGTCTGGTGTGCTCATGGTCACACAGCAAGGCAGAACACGAGGAGGGGTTAAACCAAGAGGCAAGCAAGAAAGTTCAACACAGAGAGCACAGGGACCACCTTTCCTTCTTGTCCTTCAGCTGGCAGCTGGCACGGAAGAACGAGACACAGGAGCAGCTCACTGCATGTCACAGATCGTTGCTAAAAAGGGTCAGAAACTTTATTTGCAGGCCTTGTGTTGCTTCCAACAAACAGGTTTCCTGCCATCCATGGGTAAAGGAAGGTGGTGTCCGGTGCACGAGGTCTGGGGAGCTTGTTTTGGGACTCAGTTCCCTGCCCTTTCCCACCAGCGCATCTGGAGAAGGTGGTGTCTTGGTGGCCTGCCGGATCCTCTACTGAGGGATAAGGCACTGTGTGTTCTACAAGAAGGTGCTCCTAGATGGCTGGTAGGCAATGAGGTGACGTCTCAGAGGCTGCAAAGGGCCAGCTGAAGAGGAGGCCTCAGGAAGGGATCATGCCTTTGCTCCTCTTGCGGTCAGCCATGGTTCTCCGGTTGTGGTTGGCTCTTATTGCTTTGTTAGCTTCCTTCTTTCGGCGCTCCTGTGTTGTCTCCCGGCTCTGTCCGTGGCCCCGGGGACCACCTGCCACTGCTGTTGAGCTGTCATGTCGGTACCTGGGGGAGCAACAACCCATCCCCGGAGAAGCCATGAGCTGGAAGAGGCCTGCTGGGACAAACCTGCAGCCTGCCACTAGCTAAGGACACACACCCTGGGCCAGGTCACTCATAGCCCGACCTTGGGCAGGAGGGAAGGTAGGCACTGGGGATTGTGGTCAGCCCTCTACCTGGTGTTTCTCTTCTCTATGCCTTGCCTCCAGATGGGCCCATTAGTAAGCTGTAGAGGAGCAAAACTTGAGTGCTGATCATAGCCCATGTGGAGAATGATCTGAGCCCAATCTTTTTTTGTATTAGGAATCAAATTCATGATCTCACATTTGCCAGGCGGGCACTGTGCTGCTGAGGTATATCCCTAGCCCTGTCCCCCACCCCTGCCACCTCACTAGATAGTCAAAGCTGGCCCCCAAACTCCTAGCCTCAAGCAAAATTCTCCTGCCTTAGGCTCCTGAGCAGCTGGATCTTTAAGCATATGCTTCTGTATCTGGATTGGGCCAAATCCAGGTCTACCACCTATAGTGTGACCTTTGGCAGTTTATATAATATCACTGAGCTTGAGTATCTTTACCTGTAAAGTGAGGATAATAATACCAGCTATTTCTGAGAGTTGTCCTGTTAGTACACAAGTAGTAGTTGGAGTTTACGCATGGGTTCTTTGGGTGGTCAGGTTCCCTCCCGCCAGAGTTAGCCCCTTGAATGCTTACCCCTTCCTGGCAAGAAAAGCCATGCGCCGGGCTTCTGCCCTCTCCCTCAGTACTGCAGGGTCCTGCACAAAATGGTCAGGCTACGGAAGGAAGAAGAGACAAAATTATGCAAACTGCTCCATTTCCCTCAGCTACAATGAAATCATGCTTGAACCAATCGTGATCATACCCCCTATGCTAAGGACTGGGGAGCTGCAGCAGGCAGGGGGAGCCCCAGGAATGTGCTGGCTTGTTGCAGTCTGAATGCATTAGGAGTGGAAGGCAGTTGAACAGCCAAGGCTTTCTGGACAGGCTGTTGGGGTGCATGGACCAGAGTTGGGAGTGTGATGGTGACAAATGGAAAGAGGAAGGAGAGGGCAGGATGGCCACTAGAAGAGGCCATATGAGACCACGAAAGCCAAGTGAGCCGTCCTTCTGTCCACTGGCTTATCCTGTTAGGTGAAAGCCCTGCCCTTGGGAGCAGCCAGTAGCTAGCTAGCTAGCTAGCTTGCTTTCTTTCTTTCTTTCTTTCTTTCTTTCTTTCTTTCTTTCTTTCTTTCTTTCTTTCTCTCTTTCTTCTTTGTTTAAAAAAAAAAAAAGTAAAACAAGTAGGCTTAGAAGTATCTGAGAACAGGCAGAGTTTTTCATTTACCTCAGCCTCCCAAGTGCTAGGATCACAGGAGTGTGCTATCATGCCCAGAGAATAATAGGCAGATTTTACATAAAAATTTGGGCTCCTCCTTGCACTGGATGGAAGCAAAATCTGTGAAACTCCAGGATCTCCTCATTCAGGGAACATTCCCCACAACTCAGTGGAGTTCCCACCAAGAGCTTCCTCAGTCATTCTGGTGACCTGGCCCTGGAAACATCTGAAATGTCAACCTGGTGGGAGAGCACAAGGGCTTCAGGGTTCCAGGTGGCTACCCTGTTGACCTGAGAAATACTGCTTTGATCTGTTTTATGTTGAGGTTCTAGTTAATATTTCAGTTGAATAGAAAATTTAACTGCTAAAAAACAGAATTTTCAAACCCTGATACTGATGACCTCCAAGGCTCCTGGGTTCTTAACTTCTTTTTGATTTTAAGAATTGTCAGCCTGGGCATGCCAGCTGACAGCTGCCCTCCCAGCCCCAGGCTTCTGGGCCTAATGAACCCAGCAACTCAAAGGCCCAGCCTCTAATCTGTCCCCTAGGCCCTCACCAGGCAGCCGAGGTTAAGCCAGTAGCAATCCAAGCAGACAGCCTGGGCTCCAAGAGACCTCCCTTCTCCAGTAGTGATGCGAGGGCTGCCTCAGGGCCAGATGCGTGTGTGTGTGTGTGTGTGTGTGTGTGTGTGTGTGCTCAAAGCTTTAGAACTGCATTCCCTTCATCTGCCACCCCCACTCCTGCCACCTGCCAAGGAAGTTACCTTGGGGCCCTCATCTTCAGCTTCCTCCTCCTCTTCATCTTCCTCCTCTGCCTGCCCTTCTCTGGGCACTTTGGTTCTCAGCACCTGGGGGATGGTGAAAGGCCTGCAGGTTTAGAGAGAAAGAAAGATCAAAGACTAGGTTAAAGCTGGGGACAGAGTCTCAGGAAGAGGAATCTGGAGAACAGAGGGTGCTTCCAGAAGAGGAGCAGGCTCAGGAGGCTGGGAACATCAGAGCTTCTCAAAACCAGCTTTGCTCCAGCCCCTGGATTCTTTCCAGGAACCCAGGTCTGACTGGAGGTTAGGAGGATAAGAAAGAGGTTAAGCTGGGGCTCTTCAGTCTTCCCTTTAGTCAGGGAAGCTCTGCTTTGATCTGTTTTGGGAAATCCCCATAAGATTCCACTGGGAAAAATGTTCTGCACATGAGAAAAATGCAGGCTGGGTGTGGTGACACATGCTTGCAATTGCAGCACTTGGAAGGCTGAGACAAGAGGATCACCATAAGTTTGAGGCCAGTCTGAGCTGAAGGCCAGTTTGAACTGTAGTTTTTCTCCCCATCTCTTCTTCCTCCTCCCCCTCCTCCCTGTCTTTTCTTTTTTGAGACACAGGAAGAGGAGATGGAGAAGAAAAAATAGAGGAGATGAAGGAGGAACGAAGGAGAAGAGGAAGGGGAAGAGGAAGAAGAAAAGAAGACAAGGAAGAGGAGAAGAGGAGGAGGAAGAGGAGGAAGAAGAAAGAGGAAGAGGAGGAGGAAGAAGGGGAAGAGGAGGAGAAGGATGAAGAAGTAGCAGCAGAAGAAGAAGAAGAAAAAAAAGAAGACGACGTGGTGGCACTGGCAGCAGCAAAAGTACTTCATGGGACCAAATAAATGCTGCCACACTCAGAATGGACTGAGGTGGAGGAGCACTGGACTAGGAGTCAGGAGGCCTGGGTATGGGTCCTGGGTCTGCCCTGATTTGCCCATGTGAGCAGGCCCAGCTTCTCGTCTGTACATTCTGTGGGTGATGAGAGCCCCCCAGGCCTGAGAGCCACTCTGCTCTGGGAAGGCCCCTGTCCACTGCCTCACCTGCGGCTGATGAGCTCATCATCCGAGTCTGCGTCATTGGCGCCCACCTGGTTGCCATCATACGTGTCATCATACTCATCCTCATAGTTCTCACTGTGGTAGTCGCCTGGCTGCAGTGGCACCTGCAATGGTGGAAGCCTGGGTCAGAGCGCTCAGGGGCCCGTCGGGTCTCGCATGCTCAGCAGAGGCCCAGCTCGGCTGCCTACCTCCTCCACCACCACGCTGTACTGTTCATAGCGCCGCTGCTGCGCCGCCACTGCGCGCTTGTCATTCAGCAGGCTCCGAGTGCTCCCTTCCTTCCTGGGGACAGCAGAGAGGGAGGAGACCATCAGGCTTGGATGGCGGTGGGGTGCAGAAGATCCAGAGAGACTCCAGGCTTACTTTGCCAGAGCTGGAACTGGCCCGTGCTGAGACAAGGGATGTCAGGCACTGGGGAGGGGCGGCGGTGGGGCTCTCACCACTGCTAAGGCCTCTCTGTAGGGCACCGCAGGAGCCGTTCTAGTAACACACAGGCCTCTCTTTTCTGACCAGGAAATCCCCCTCCAGGGCACTGACCCATACACACAAAGAAGTCTGGTCAGGGGTTTTGTTTTCAGTATTGTTGGTAACAGTGAAATGTCCTTCATGAGTGAAATGGCCACACGAACTGTGCCTTGTCTGGGCTACAGCCTGCTGTGCATAGTTCTTAAGCACAATGCTGATCTATTTGTGCTGACAGAATTCTATTCTGTAGTAGAAAAGAAAGCTACAGAAAAACAGAATGATCCTGAAAGCAAAGCCACCCACTTCTGTTTCTGTAGGTTCTGAAGTGTTATATGTAAATGCAGAGAAGGCCCAGCATGTTATTAAACCACAATGATTACTTTAACTATGAGGGGGTTGGGGTTGCTTCAATCTTTTGCTTTTGTTTTGTTTCTTTTTCTTTCTTTTTTTTTTTCCCTGCAGTGCCAAACTCAAGGCCTCAAGTGCCAGTCTTTAAAATAAACAAAAAGTAGCAAGGCCACATGTGGAGTCCTCCCAACCTCCGGGGTGTGGAGCAAGGAGGAGCCCTGGCCTCTTCCTTTCACCCCTTTACACAGTGACTCCCTATCTACCTGTTTCTTCCAGTAGAATTCTTACTTCCACGTAAGAATTCCCTGGAAGAAAAATTCTGGACGCCTAACTCCCATCACAACACAGGGAAGGAAACTTGGAAGCAGCGCAGGGGAAAGGGACACTGTCGTGATCATTGTGGCCTGTGGCTTCAAGGGATTCAGGCAGGTATGTTGATTGTGCCTTTGCCAAACTGTAGAAAAACTTGGCTTGTCAGACACTTGCACAAGCTTGTGGAATGTCATTTCTAACCCTGCAGGGGAAAATCAGTATGAGACGCCAGGCAAAAAAATCCAGCTTAGCTGTGAAATTGGGGCTCTGGAATGTATCAAGGGAGGTAGGGGGTGGGGGAGAAGAGACAGGCTATACGTGGCTTCCATAAAAATCTTCTATTAACTGGCTTTTGTCACAGGGAGGGGCGGGTGTCTGAGTCTGTCAGGCTGTCTGCCTGAGAGCCTGCAGCCGGTCAGGACTGTAGTCCTCATCATGGCACGCAAAGGCTTGCCTTTCTGCAAGTATTTTTTCATTTTTTGTGGTGCTGGGGATTGAACCCAGGGCCGCTGTGCTGAGTTATATCCCCAGCCTCCCTCCACCTCCCTACTTCTTTTTTAATTTTGAGATTTAGTCTCAATAAATCACTAAGATGCCCAGGCTGGACTCAAACTTGAGAGCCTCCAGCCTCAGCCTCCCAGAGTGCTGTGACTATAGGCATGTGCCACCACAGTCTTTATTAAGAGCCTATTACGTGTTATGCAGGCTTCTAAAGCTGAGGTGGGGAGAGATTCGGAAAGGAGTGAGATATGGATCAGCCTTCATGAACTAAACAATGCAGTGTTGTGACAGATGAGCAATGAGAGCAATGTGGATCGTGCTGAATGGCAACATGCCTGGCCTGGACACAAAGGCAGGAGAAGTGAACTCTGGCTCCAGAGTCCAGCAGGGATCCGGAGGAAGGGTAATGAAACTCTGTGATAGAAGGGGTATTCGATTGGATCCAGAGGAAAGGACATGTTTGGACCAGGAAGAACTGTGATGGTGGCCTTGACACTGTACCTGGCTCTCTTTACAATGTTGGAAAAGAAGTGGAGAGGAAGTAAAAGAGATCAAAACTTGTCCAGGTGGTTGTGTTGAGGGGCCTCTAGATTACATGGCTCCCTGGCTGGCCAACTGGAGAGGCCTGACCAGCCTAGCTGGTCCCCAGGAGAAAACACAAGGCCAGTAGAGCCTGGTGCCCAGGCAGCCCATCTGGGGAGGTGTGACTCTGGCCCTGTGACCTTCCTTGAAGCCAGGAAGAACAATCTGAGCAAAATCAGCTGGTAAAAGGACAGTCCTAGGGCCAGAACTTCACTTCAGGCAACAGTGGCTTCAGAGGCTGCCACTAAAGCAAGTTGCTTCCTCCGCCTCCTGCATGATGGCAAGCCCAGGGACATGCAGGCTCCCCTGAAACTTGGTCGTCTTTCCCCTCCTCATCTCCTAAGCCCAGTTCTTCAGGGCCCATCTCAAACTGGTCTGTGCAGGTCCCCAAGACAATAAATCCCTCCTTTTCCAGGTGAGGAGTCAGGAGACTGAGAGGTAGAGCAACTTGTCAGGTTCATATAGCTTCTAACAGCAGGTTCATTTTTGCCTGAGCTATGTAACCACAGGCAAGTCCCCTATCCTCACTACATCTCAGTCTCTTCTCCAGCACCTGCTTGGTGTGAGAATGAAGATAATTTTTAGACCTGGCACCTGTTAGATTCAACACAATGAATCCTGTTTGCTTTATTGCAGGACTTATCAGAGGCTTTCCTGTGCTAATAAATTCTGTGATTCTCCAAGAGGCAGACATACATTTTTGGCCATAGAATCTTTTCTTTTATTCTAGAGACAGGGTCCAGGTTGGACTCAAATTTATGTGATCTTTTGACTCAGCCTTCCAAATACTTGGATTATAGGTGTGTATCGCCTCGTCTGGCCACAGAATCTTTTCTGAAGAGGAACATTTATTTTCCAGGGCACTGTGGGACAATCCAAAGGAATTAGGGGACCCCACCTTATGAATACAGCTTCCATTACTGGGTACGATATATCTGTGGCACAGACGGTTGGCATCTACCCAACAGTCCCCTCTACTTCGGCCTTACGACTAACAGACCCTCATTTTGTTCAAGTCTTTGTACCTCTGCTCTTCATATTAGAGCCTCAATTAATTGTGACTCAATTATCCTGGATAAGAGGGGAATGTGGAAACTTCTGGCCTGGCCTCCCAGTCTCAAAAGGAGACAGGGACACCTACATAGGACTTCGACTTGGCATTGTCATTGCTGGAAGCCACAGCCGAAACAGCAGCAACGCACTGAACCCTCAAGAAAACCAGTCTGATCATGGCATTGCACCACGGGCTAGTCATGCCCCTCCACTTGCAGCTCCTTGAACACGAGGAACCAGATCTCTTTACTGTTTAAGCCATGGAGTGCGTCCTCAATGACACACACATAATGTGATCTGCTTTATATGAATTTCCAGTGTGCTCCTTGAGAGCAGGAAGGCCCTGAGACTCTCCGCACTGCCCTGATTAGGACACCTGTCTCTGCTGAACTCCTGGTGCACCCTACCCTGCCACTTTTGCTCTGCTACTTCTTGTTTAATGGTCTGTCTCCCACGGTCTCTGCCCTTGGAGGACAAGACTGGGGTGTCTGGCTCACCTTGTTTTCCTGGTGTCTAGCATAGAATCTGGTGCTTGTAAATCACTTAATAAATATTTGCTGAGCGAATAAATAAATAATGAACACATGAATGGAGGCTTTGCCTCTTTATAATCCCCACCCCTGAGTTAGTTAGCACAGTGGGTTCAGTAAACACTGTCTATCCAGGTTCTGCCAGGCAGCCTGGAATGCCCCAGTCCTTCTGACGACCCTGATAGCTGGGATGAGTCCCTTGGCAAGTGCTTGTGTGTGACTTACAACTTGAGTAGGGGAGATGGGTCCTTACATTATCATGGCCCTGGGTAAAGCTGCAGATGAAAAACTAAGCCCAGAGATACCTAATCTCTATGGGGGATCTACCAATTTAGTTCTCCCTGGGTTGGAGCATGAGCTAGCCTTGTACTTGCTGAAGGACCTCTGGGTGCTCCTTCTCTACAGAGGGTCATGTGGCCTGGTGTAGCAGCCATTGATACAAGGCAACAGCCCTGGCCTGAGATCTTGGCGATGTGGCAATGTACATGACTAAGCAGTTTGCAAGTGCTTCCTGCCCAGCCAGCCAGATGGCTTTAGAGCTGTCCGACACCCACTCCTCAAACTCTTGGCCAGCCAAACTTCTAACAAGGCAAGGGACAGGGAACAGCTTGCACTTCCACACTCGGGCTCTTGCCAGAAGAATGGGGCCAGCCTCCTCCCTCTGAACCTCCCCATTCACATTGCTGTGACTGGAAACTGAGCAGGCTGTGCTCACCCAGAGGCTCTCAGATTTTTGCTTTTCATGAATCAACACCATTTCAGAATTTCGGGAGACTGGCAGTGTTGTCAATGTCTTATTTTGCCATTCCTGATTTGGCTGTCAAACTCTCTACCAATACTGGTGATTCTTAGTCATTCCAAAGCTTTCCAAAACAATGTGTCAGCTCAGGGGACCCTCACCACACTTAAGATGGCCTTGGAGTCACTGTCCTTGTTCACACTGCTCAGTTTTCCCTTTTCTTCTTTGCAGAACTGGTCTCTTTGCACCTTTCAGCTCTCAATCCCACATCCTTCTCAAAGGGGACTTCCTGCCTGGGTGGAGCTCCCAACAGAGGTACAGGAGTCTGCATACCTCCGTCCCAGTACTTATTCTACTTGCAATGTGACACTGCTTGTTTGATAAGCTGATTAATGCAAATTCCACTTGGGCACAGGCTGTGTCTCTTTCGATCCCCACTCCAGTTCCGGAACCTAATTAATCCAGGGCCTAGAATGCTTAAATATGAGGCAAATATTTATTGAATGAATAAGTAATGAATGGACCTTTTTGATGCCTAAAAGGCAAGAAGGACAAAGAGAAAGGCCAGCACCATCTCTACAAAACAAAGGCCTTAAAATGATATGTTCACCTTTGGAAAAGTTCATTTAGTGGAAACCTTAATTTTCTCATTTCGTCACAGCTTAAGGAAAATCACGTCAAGATGGCTTCTGGGAAGCACTGTCTACCTCTATTGCCCACAGAGTTGACAGTCAATCTGCCCCTGCTCTAAGAAGTACACAGTGAGCCAGTTCTGTAAAGATGAGGCCCCTGGTTTCTCTCACTGTCCCCTGCAGTTTCAGGGCTGGGGTGAGTGGAATCCCACAGCCCACTGCACTTACCTCCTGCCTTTGTGTATCCGGCTTAGGTCCACTGAATCTCTGCTGAACACATCAAATTCATCATTCTGGAAGACGTTGTGACGAGATGTCAACAGGGGGGTGGGGTCTGGCTTTGCCTGTCTGGGGGTACAGAAATCAGTTTAGGGACCCTGCCAGCTGATGCCTATCTCCTATGCCCCACTCTCTCCGGCCTTGTACTTTTTTTTTTCTGTCTTTTTCATTTTTTATCGGTACCGGGGATCGAACTCACGACCGCCTGCTTGCAAGGCAGGTGCTTACGCCGCTGAGCTAAACCCCCATCCCTGGCCTTGTACTTTTGTTTTTTGGACACAAGATTTTGCTAAGTTGCCCACGCTGGTCTTGTACTCACGGTATTCCTGCCTCAGTCTTCCAAGTGCTGCGATTACAGGCATGTACCACTACTCCCAGCTTGCCATGCTGTGTTCTAGCCATCAGTATCCTCACTCTGATTGCATAACCACAACTAGGACAGAGTCTAAAAACTTTTAGTTGAAGACAAAGCCCTGCCCGAGTGTGTGTCATACCATAAACGAAGCTTCCGGATGCATATGGGTTTTCTTTCCATTTTTAAAAAACTCTGTCCTTCATTTAATGCTTGCAATGGCTCTGTTCTAGTTGTGACCTAGGGGTCATAGGTCAGTCAGTCCCTGGGATTGTTTTTTGGTGCTGGGGTAAGAACTGAGGCCTGGAACATGCTACACAAATGCTGTACCACATCTCTAGCCTCACATATAACCTCTTTATCCCTCCGTGCTGAGGAACTTGTGCAAAGGCACAGCGAACACTTCATTCAATCATATGGTAAAGATCATTTGTTCATGGGAAGAAACATCCATTTGTGCATCTCTCATGGTGCCCTGTGAAGCCTTGAGGGAAGTAGTGAGCCAAACTCAGAAAGGACAAAGGATGGAAGAGGCTTTGGATGTCCCTTTCAGATGCCTACTGGGAACAGATCAAAAACGTAGGAACTCTGAAGGGCTCAACAACTTTTGTTGTTTCTGTTTCTAATCAGGTTTCCCATAAGATACCACAGAGACTATGAGCTGTTCCCTGAGAACCTCCTGGGGGCCCCGGGCTTTGCTTCCCTGAACAAGGAACTAGTTTGAACAGTACATTGCTGTAGTGAAGAGAGCAAGTAGGGGCCTGGACTATGAGGGAGGCAGAGAGAGGGCCTCTGCCCCAAGGCAGACTGGGTCCCATACTCCGCCCACCCATCTTTCCCACCTGTCTAGGCTGCGGTCCAGCTGGCTGAGGGCAGGTGGTAGCCGCTCCTCCAGGATGTTGTTGATCACCTGCTCCGGGTCATAGTGGTAGTGCTCCAGGCAGGACAGGATGAAGCCCTCTCCAAGGTCCGGCAGCAAGTCCTTCACTTGGGAGATGAGTGAGTCCAGCTCAACACCACATACGGTGGGGCCAAGGGTGGCAGCTGCTCCCATGCACTGCAGTGAGAGCCAGAGTGAAGAAGGGGATGGCTGAGCCCAAGGGTGATAGGGCTATAGCCTCAAACAGCACCAGATTTGCCATCACGGGATCTACTTTGATTCCTGTTCCTACCTCTCCTGACTTAGCCTCTATTTCCTTCTCTGCGGAAAAAGGGGGCTCTACGCTTTGCTATTTATGACTCTGTGACTTTGGGCAGGGTGCTTCTCCTGAGTCTGTTTCCTCATAAAATAGGCCTACTACCATTTACCTCCTGAGGTTGTTTCAAAATAGTTCAAAGAGAGGATTCACATAAACCACCTGCATAGGCTGCGGTCCAGTACACGGTACAGAGTAGGCACTCAAACCCAGATGTGGTGGCACATCCCAGCACTTGGGAGGCTGAGGTAGGAGGATTGTTGCAAGTTCAAGACTAACCTGGGCTACAAAGTGAGCTCAAAGCCAGCCTAAAGTACGTGGCGAGACTATATCTTGAAAGGAAAGGGGGGAAAAAAAAGACTAGGCACTCTGTAATTAATCATAGTCTACTAATCAGGCCCTTTACCAACTGTAACACTGACACTGACTCACTGACACTGCCAAGGAACAGTAACTCCCAGGCTGGATGGTGTGGACATGAATAACCACAGAATAATCCTAACAACAATAATACGTAATTCAGATAAGAAGCCAAATGGGGAAGAGGGTATGGCAAAACGGAGGGAGAGTCAGGGGGCCTAGGGTTTCACAGAAATAATAGAGTACTTGTTAAAGGGGAAAATAAGGGCCAGCCAGGCCCCGCACTGCAGACAGAGGCTCTGGGGACCCCAACAATCTCATGGAAGTGGGTATAGTATCTATACCCACCTTACAGATGAGCGACTAAGGCCAGGTGTGATGTGCCCAAGCCTGAACATCTGGTGAGTGGCAGATGAGTCTACACTCCTGAGCAGCCTGCCCTCAATTTGTGGGGTCTCCACTCCTACATCACTGCTGCTTTCCAGGGAAGAGTCCAAGGCTCAGAAGCCATATATTTGCCCAGTTCTGGAAAAGCCTGAGGGGAAAGCACTAGATCCAAGGCTACCAAACTTGTTCACTGAAGCCCTGTTCTTCCTATGGAGGGGTTTCCAGGGTTACAACCAAAGGAGCCCCACTTAGCAGCTGCACAGACGAGAGCTCAGGAAGAATTTCACATGCAAAAAGCTTCATCTGTTCATTTCATAAAGAACAGGCTCAGACAGCTTAGGCAACTTGATCTGTCCTAATGCCTAGTTTAGCATGGCACACAAACTGACCAGTAGTTTGCGGTTGTCTATTCCAAAAGAAACCTTTTCCCTGATTGCAGAAACAAGGAAAAGAGATCTGCCACTGCCCTGATGGGATAGAAGGGTCGGGGAAGCAGGGCAAGGAACTCCCTGGACACACACCTCCTCTTGCTCTGAGTTCTCCAGTTGTGACTGTGTTTGGCTGACTGGCTCTGCTGTCACCATGACCCCATTAGAATCTCTACTAGGGTCCTTGGCCACTGATGGGTTTTTAGTATCCACGGCTTTCCGTCTGTCCACTCCTTCCCACGCACTTTCCACTGCCTGGAGGATGTAGGCAGTGCGTGTCTCATCCCTGTGAGGCTGTTAAGGGCTCTTTCTCAGGTTCCACAATCTTCTCTGCCTTCCCAGTTCTGAGGCAACTTGATTTCTCAGTCTCTCCCCAAAATCTGACTAGTGGGAGTCCAGGGCACCCGAGCTGGTAGGGCAGCAGGCTGGACCATGGCCACATAGGCTTTGCAACACACTATCTGTCATTCAACATGAAGCAGCTCTGGACAAAGACAGGGCTGGGGTCCACCCTCAAGTGTCTTGGGATATGATGTTAGGATGAGCCAGCAGTTCCTCTTTTGCACTGAATGCTAAGAAGAGGGCCTGACAGGGCCACTGCCACTAGACTTCCTGTCCAACTAGCCAAGGACCTTCTGTAGAATGGAAATTGCAGGGTATCCTGAGTCAAGACTTAATAACCTACCCCGGCAACTAAAAGGGCTCGCAGGCCAACTGCTTCTCTAGCACCCTGAGCACTGCCAAGCCAGAATTCTGAGAGGTACTTTCAATCCTTCATTCCACTTCTAGTCTAAATCACCATGATCTGGATGTTAGCAACAGCCTCCTCTCTGGTCTTTGAACCTCCTGTGGTCCCAGGCCAGTGTATTCCATTTCCTGTGGTGAACACAGCTTTTCTATGGTATACACCTGCCCATGTTGCCTCCTGTTTCACAGATTTCTACCCTCTCAGTACTTGCAGAACACAGTCCAAACTTCTCAGTGACAGTCACCACTTCGAAGCTGTGCACACAGCAGTAGCTCACCTGTCAGACCTCCTCCAGTAAAGAGTACCACTGGCTACACCCTATACTTTGTACACAACAGTGGGTAGACTCCTCTAGGGAGCCTGCTCTTTCTATCTCCTGACCCCTGGGAACTCTCTTGTCCTCACCCTAGCTCTTGGCTTGACATCTGTTCTTTCTGTTCCCACCTGGGACAGCACTCATCTCCTTGAGTTCCACTAGGTGAGGTGCTGTCTGAATTCCTCTTGTATGACTCTCCAACTGCCTGTTTATTTGTCCTTCTCTCCTCCTGCAGTGGATCTGTGTGTTTGGCCCAGGACCAATTTGAACACACAGGCCTGGATAGTCAAGCAACACCTGGACAAAGCAGGTCTATACTATCCCTACCCCGGACATCAAAGCCGTCGTCTGCTCTAGGAAAAGAGGGGCTGGGATGTTGGCAGGCTGTAAGAACTACTGGCTAACCCTCTCTCTACTCCCTTTGTCCCTGCAGGTCACACATGCCCTACTTAGGCCAAAGTCTGTGCCAGGGGCCTGTGGTAGAAGGATACAAGACTGACGAGGCCTGTTGCAGCAAGCTGATGTCTTCAGCCACAGGGAAGAGTGCATCATAGTCACGGAGGAACCTTTGGGACAGACAGCAAACAGGAGGGATGGGGCTGGAGCCACAGGGACACTGTTCTGCTGCAAGCCACTCCCTGTGTCTGCTTCCCAACCACAAGTGTCAGGACCTTTGAGCAGTGGTGAAAACACAGCAGAGGCTCCAGCAGGCTCCACAGGGATGAGTGGAAAGGCCACAGGCCTATTCCACTGCTTGTCCAAGTTCAGCCACACTCACCTCTTCTCTTGAAGCAAGGAGCTGAAGATCTGAAGGAACTCTTCAATGAAGCCCTGAACACTGTCACAGCTGGAAAATGACACCAGAGAAGATGAGCCCACATAATGCAAGATGACATGCAGGTCCCTTCCATGCCTGTCCTGATGTGAACCTTGCAAGGCTCTGGCCAATTGGAGGAAATGGGCATTTTTCTGAGTTTCCCACTTCTGCTTGGCAAATCCCAGAGCAGGGGAATAGGCCATGATGGAGTGAAGGGAGTGCTCTTGCTGAGCCGTCAGAGATTTCCTGGGGACTCACCTGCTTTCTAGGATGGGAAGGAGACAGATCTGGTTTAGGATGATGTGAAAAACCTCCATTAGCTTCTTCTTGGAATGGGAGAGCCTCTGCCACAAATCAGCCATCAGCCTTTGTCACCAGAATGAAAGATAAATTGATTCAGGAGGCAAAAAGGCACTAGGGAAGCTCTTCCCAGCAGCTGCATGCTCCTCTACAGGGACACGAAAGTTTCATAAGTCACTGTTGGGAATAGCTGAAAAAAGGTGGCTGGGTGGTCAGCAAGCTCCACCTCTCAGTTCAACAGTGGGTCAGGAACAGCGGGGTTGGTTACTAATAGCTTGGAGCAATAGCTGAGGATGCTTACGTGCAGAGGCCTGCCATCCTATTAGCTGTTGGTATTTAGGGGCACTGGGTTAATAGACTTAATTGCTAAGCAGGACTCTGGGGCCATTCTCCCTTGCTCATTTAACTCTCTACCTGCTGAAATCTTTAATCTTCAGTTCTCACACAATTCCTTATACAGTACTTAAAAAACAAAAAACTCGTTGGGTGTGATAGCACAGGCCTGTTATCCCAGCACCCTGGGAGGCAGAAGGAGGATTGTAAATTCAACACCAGCCTGGGCAATTTAGGAGACTTAGTGGAACTCTACTGCAAAAAAGGCGGGGTGGGGGCAGTAGTTGGGGACATAGCTCAGTGTGAAGGCCCTAGGTTCAATCCCCAGTACTGAGAAAGAAAAGCAAAACACAAGTCTTATGTGCTAAGGGTATAATACTTCGTAAAGCACTTGCCTAGGATGCCTAAGGCTCTGGATTTGATCATCCCCCCAAAATAATTCTCTTTGGAATAAAAAAAGAAAGAAAGACAGACAGATAGACAGACAGACAGAAAGAAAGAAAATAAAAATGCTGGGGCCAGGAGACTCCAACGTAGGGATAAATGAGCCAAAGGCTGAGCAGTCCCTGGCCCCATCTCCTTGTCTTAGACACTGGGAATGCTGTGGTTGGGGAAGGCCGGGTAAGTGATCAGGTCTCTCTTTCCATACAACTTCTGAATTCTGTCCCCCGCCTCACTTGCTATCTTCAAGTCTCCTCTTCTTAATTGCAGACTCCATTTCCGGAATTGCCACTTCATAAAAGGAAGCTAGTCTGTGGAGGCACACATGGGTAAAAGCTAGATTAGTTAGTAAATACCACATTTCCCTAGAAAACCAAAGTTAGCCCCAAGGGACTGGGAAGACTCATTTCTTGCTTCCACAATTAATTTTACTGGGGCTACCTTGGACCCCATACTGACTCACTGTGGTTCCACAAGCAGTCTTTTGGGAAGTGACTGTAGCAATGTCCCCCTTTCAGATGGGACATTCTGTTCTTTTTCCTTTATTGTGTGTAGGGTTTTTTTTTTTTTTTTTTTTTTTTTTTTTTGAGACAGGGTCTCGCTATGCAGTTCAGGCTGGCCTTGAGCTCACTTTGTAGCCCAGGCTGGTCTCGAACTCGCAGTGATCCTCCTGCCTCAGCCTCCCGAGTGATGGGATTATGGGCGTGAGCTACCACGCCTGGCTATGTATGTTTGGTTTTTTCAAGACAGGGTCTTGCTATGTAGTTCATGCTGGCCTTAAACTTACTATGTAGTTCAGCCTGGCTACAAACTTTGGCAATATTCCTACCTCAGCCTCTCGAGTGCTGGGATTACAGGTATGTGCCATTACAGTGGGCCCAAATTTGTCTTTTTTACTTGCTCAAAAGCTGCTATTTCTATGTGCAAAGAAATGTTCATTTATAAATAAATTTTCCTACTTTAGTGATGAGATATAGTTTTAGTTTTAGTGTGAATAGGAATCTTTAAAAATTGTTTTAACATGAAAATATTAACACAATATATCTTTGCTCAGAACAGGCTTAATGTGCTCATAATTTAAAAATATCCTACTGTCTATACTAGTTCTATGAGTTAAACCAGTTAGTATGGTTTCTGTAACTCTTATAAAACTAAAAAGTATATATAAATGAATAAAATGAGCTGGGTGGTGGCACATGCCAGTAACCCCAGCTACTTGGGAGGCTAAGGAAGGAGAATCTAGTTTGAAGGCCATCAGCCAGGGCAACACAGCAAGGCCTTGTAGGGGGTTGTGGGGAGACTGGACAGGAATGTTCCAGACAAAGAAGGGTTACAATGGTAGGGAGGGCTCTCTGAGTAGAGTAGAAGGGCTCAGGGTGTGCCTGAGGCAAGCCTAGGAGTACAGCATGACCTGAGATGCAAGGTGGGGACATCAGGATCTGCAGGAAAAGGAGCCAGTAACCAGAAGAGACAATTATAATTTCTTGAGAAAGACAGATTGGGAGGAACTATGAAATGCTGGCTGGAGTGGGGTCTTTATTGTGTGGGCAGCAGAAGCTACTGTAAGCTATTATCTAAAGGAGCCAGAAAAAGACCCCGCCAGGATGAAGCAAGACAGGGAGGAAAAATGGAGAGGAAGGAAGACCACTTTGCCCTCTCAGCCCTATCAGCATCTTCCTTATGAACTTAGAAAGGAGACTACAGGCACAAGCATTCCCAAGCCAGTGTGAAGGGGCTGCTACCACACTGCCTGGCAATGACAGATGCTGGCCCATTCTCAGTGGCCTCTGGTTCTCACTCTTGCCAGATATTTCTCCCCACCATTCGCAACAGTTCCTGGGAGCCTATCCAACTTGGTCCACTCATCCATCCATTCTGTCATTTACTCACTCATTCAACAAAACATTTATCTAGTGCTGACATGTGCCAGAGATGGCAGCTGGTCCTCTGACCCCCTCCTTCTCAAATTGTAAAAATCAGACATTAGGACTGATCAGCTTCCAAGACAGAGACTGTTAGAATCAAGTGTTGATCAGCAGTCCCCTTAGAAGAAAGGAGTTGGGATGGGGCCGCAGCTGTCCACTTTGGAAAAAAGGTTTTTTGTTGTCTGGTGTGGTAGCTCATGCCTGTAATCTCAGCACTCAGAAGACTGATATAGGAGGATTGCTACAAATTCGAGACCAGCCAGGGCCACAAAGTGAGCTCAAAGCCAGTCTGAACTGCATAAAGAGATTCTGTCTCAAAAAGATTTAAAAAAAAAAAGGGTACCTTTTCTCATGAAAGGGGCATGAAGTTGGTAGGAAATTTGGAAAATACAGCAAAATAGAAAATTAAAATCACAAAGGATCAGACTGTTCTTAGAATTTTATACTGTGATGTTCTCATTTATCATTGTAATTTCTCATTTTAAACATCTCTCTGAACAGGGAGGGTCTTTGGAGTTAGGTATGTACAATTTAGAACAGTGGACTTTCCTGCATGGGGTAGTGGAGGTGGGGATGAGGTCCCACCCATCTCAGGGTGAGTGACTCTGCCTTTGAACCAAACACAGCCCTGGCTGGAGCAGCCTGTTTCACTGTGCAGGAAGCCAGGAACAAATGGCAAACACAGTAACCTTAGTTCCTCACAATTCTCTGGAAGGAGTTGTAGTCACCCAGACAATTTTTTCATTCATTCCTCTCACAACCACCTTCTTCTGCCTTTTTCTCATGTCTATGCAATATATCCAAGTAAGTCCTTTTTTCCCTTGAATTTTACAAATGAATGCTACATGAGTGCTACATTTTATGAATTAATGCTACATTTGGTTCAAAACTCAAAAAGTAAAATACACAGTGACATTTTCCCTTCCTCCCCCAGGTCTGTTCCATTGACACTGGTGCTTTTTTAATCTTCCAGATACAGGCATTACATATGCATATTTAAGAATATAAACATCTATATACTCTTGCACTTTCACTCATTTTTTGCCTCTATGGTGAGGATTGAGCACAGGGCCTTGAAACATGCTAGGAAAGGGTTTCACCACTGCACTATACCGTTTGCCCTTTCCCAGCTTTTTAAAAAGTCAATGTCATCATATTATGAGTACCATGGATACTGTTTGCATTTTGCCTTCCCACTTAATCGTGGTACAATGGCAATGTGTAAAGCACCCTTGGTCTCGGGATGGCTAGGCAGAATTTCATTGTGCTTATGAGGTATCAGATACCATAGATGCACATTCAAGGGTTTTGTTTTGTTTTTAGTTGTTTGCTACTAAAAAACAATCTGGGAAGCCAACAGTGGTGGCACACACCTGTAATTCCAGCACTCTGGGACACTGAGGCAGGAGGATTGCAAGTTTGAGCCCAATAGAGGCAATTTAGTGACTTAGTAAGACACTGTCTTAATAAGAAAGGGCTAGGGATGCAGCTTAGTGCAAAGACCCTGGATTCAACTCCCAGCACTGAAAGAACAAAACAAAACACAAAAACCATGTTTCACAAAGTAACTTTGCACACGTATCACTTTGTATCTTTGTAAGTATATGAGGAACAATTCTTAGAAATAGAATTGAAGGGAAAGATGGTACTTGCATCTTCAATTATCACAGATCTTGTCAAATCACCCTACACAGAGGTTGTTCCCATTTACCCTATCAGCAGTGTATCCTGGCAACAACTGAACCTGTTTGGGCCAAAGTATCTTCTCTGTCCTCTTCTGCTCCCATACCTACGAAGGCCTTCCTCTTTTGGCTTAGTTATCCTCTGCTACTAAGGTACTAGAACAAGACAGATGCTATCAGAAAGTAGCCAAAGGGGAGACAAACATTTTCAGAGCACTTGCTACGAATTCTGCACTTAAAAGCTGTAGTTCTGGGGTTGGGAAGCTTAAGATGTTCAGAGGAAGAATTGTACCATAAAAAAGAGGCAGCTGCATTTCCAGTTGTTAGGGTTGCCTATTCTATGTGCAGTTCATCTGGTTCTGGGAAGGAAGAGTCCTGTAGGCGAGCAGAACCAAGCTGCACATGGCAGTGGAGGCCTGGAATGCTACAAGAGGAGATGGAGGTGTGAAGGAGGATGAGGAGGAGAATGAGAAAAGGAGAGCTGCGGCCAGTGTTAGCCTGAGAAAAGTCAGGGGACAGCAGGTACACTAGAGAGGACAGTGAAAGCCTGTGTGATGGGGCTGGGGACTTTAACCTTGAGCCAGGAAGGCATGGGTGTGAGGTGGCAAAGCTGAGAGGCAAGGTTGGCTGTACTGTGCCAGGTATGGATTTGCCTGAGAGAACTATGGTATTGAGGGAGCTGGTGGTAGTTGTCGTCTTTCTTTCTTTTATTACTAGTATATCTGAAGAGGATCCTATGAATATCTTTTTTTTTTTTTTTTCTGAGATGAGGTCTTGCTATGTTGCCCAGGCTGGTCTCAAATTTCTGGGCTCGTGATCCTTTTGCCCCAGCCTTTAAGTAGCTAGCACTGCAGGTGTGTGCCACCACTTCTGGATATCTGTTCAATCTTAAAGATTTCTTTAAAGGTGACCCCACCCCCACCAAGCAGGTATATTGTGCTCTTCCCTGTGTTAGATCACTTTGTATTGACTCTCATTCCCTAAGCCTACCCATGACAAGGGCTTTGAGACAAACAAAGCAGAATTGAAATTGTTTTCTTCTTGTCACACTCCACCCCATCCTGTTCTTAGTCCAAACTGGCAATGCTTCTAGAATGCATGCTTCTTACAAGCAAAAGCCTATCTGCCTTCTCACTGCAGCACTCCCAGGCTGGAAGGCTGGAACATTCAAAGGCCCAGTAAATGAATGAGTACATGGACCAGAGCCTCTACCTTAACAGCCAGAACTCCTGCTGTACCTGTAACAGAAGTCGTGTTTCTGGAAGGTTGGGCAAGCCAAAGGGAAGATATCCAGAAAGGCCCAGAGTGTAGTGCAGGTATCACAAAGGTAGAGAATAACATCCTTTAGTTCCTGTTGCCAAGAGGGAAAAAAATACTGAATTATTCTCCTCTGCCCCATAGAGAGCTCTGTAGAGTCTATGACACAGTTGACAAAATCAAGGTCCCCAGTTGGGTGTGGTGCCACATGCCTGTAATCTCAACACGTCAAGATGTTGTGGCAAGAGGATCACCGCAAGTTGAAGGCCAGCCTGGGCTACACAGTGAGTTCAAGGTCACCTTGAACTGCACAGTGAGATCCTGTCTCAAAAAACAAAGAAAAAAAATCAGGGTCCCCAACAGGCAGGATGATGCTTGTGGAGAAAAGAACAGGGGAGTCCCTGTAACACAGCCTGCCTGGTCTGTCTCCAGGAGCTCAATCTGGGTGAGCCACCTAATGGCCCTGCTAGTGCGACTTCAATGGGCTCATAGTCAGTGACTGCCAAGGTCATTTCTAGTTCAGAGATAATATGGTCTCTCTTCTACACTCAACAAAAACCAAGCACTGAACTGGAAGTCAAACTCTCTAGTCCCAGAGAGTGTGTACTTCCCAGTGACAACCAGTGAGGATAAGAATATCAAGCCTGCACTTCTCTCTGGCTTCTCTCCCTGTGTGTGTGTGTGTGTGTGTTGAGGCAGGCTTTCACTACGTAATTCAGGCTAGTCTTGAACTCACTCTGCAGACCAGGCTGGCCTCAAACTCACAGTGACTTGCCTATCTCAACCTCCTGAGTGCTGGAATGACAGGGGTGTGCTAGCATGCCTGGCTTTTCCCTCTGATTCTGAAGAATATATTTAGGAGATAGGGTGCTTGCTCATCTGGTTGCTGAGTCTCACAATAACTCTGAAGTATGGGCTAAGCAGCTGTTAGGATCTCTGATTTATGGATAAGGAACCAGCCTCAGAAGGGTGAAATGATTTGCCCCCAGAACATTCAAAACACTTGTCTGACGGCTCTTTCCCCAGCAGGTCACAAGCTCTAGAGCATGGCTCTCAGCAACCTTGCTCCTGTTCTCTCCAGTGCTTAGCACAGCACCTGCTACACATCCAGGCTCCCTAAACACCAGTCTCCTATCTGTTATCCTCATGGACTAAGTACTGTGAGGGCATGTACTGCCATGTCTGTTTTGCTACTGCTTCACCCCCAAGGCCCATGAACACATGCTGGAGGACCCTGCACATAAACTCACTGAGAATGAACAGCACAAATGAGCTTGCTGAGCTGAACTAAATAAAGCTTAAACTCCTATCTTTGATTTCCAGTGCCATATTCTTTTTAGTACTCCAGAAATGAAGCTCCCAGATGGAAACGTAAGTCTGTTGCAAATACTCTTACCCCACATGATGGGAAGAAATAGCTGCTCACTGAGTCAGAGAAAGGGGCTGTGATAGGGAAAGAAGCCCCTGCTGGCCCATGTGTCATGGCAATGTTCCCAGCCTTGGAGTAGAAAGTGCTCTTTCTGGAAGGATCTAGCCAGAAAGAAGCTGAGCTAGAGGGTGACCTCACCAGAAGAGGCATGTCGCTGGGAGTCAACCGGCTCTTCTCCTCAAGCTTCTGGGGAGTGCTCCTGGTTGCATCCCCTTGCAAACCACAGTGTTGGAGAATATTGCTGAATACCTGTAAAAAGCAAGAAAGAACTCTCCCAGATCATGATGAGCCACATTCTGACAAGCTAGTGTCTAGGACGTCCACTCCATGGCTATAGACAGGTGATGTTAACACTGCCTGGGAACATATACGTTTCCAGGGTATCAGCTGAGATAATTAATGACCTTCTCAGAGATCAAGGTTAGAGTGGGAATTTTATAGGATGGGGAAGGTGGAAGCATCCTTCTTATGGAATTGTGTAGTGGATTAAAAACACAACACAGGGGGCTGGGGATATAACTCAGTGGTATTGCACTTTACCATGAGTGCAGCCCCAGCTTCCATTCCCAGCACTGTAAAACCAAACCAAACCAAACCAAACCAAACCAAACCAAACCAAACCTCCAGAGTATGCATGTAAAACCCCAAGAATCCTGCAAATATGATCTTGACTAAATAGGCTGGGCAAGTGTATGACAATGAACATTTGAGACACATCTTTACCAACATACAACAGATTTTTACATCACTGTAGATAGCTATTCATGGGAGCAATATTTTAATAAAAGACAACAGTGGGAGGAAAAAAGCCCTATGGGGGCTGGAGATTTAGCTCAGTGGAATATGCGCCTGCCTTGCAAGCAGGCAGTTGTGAGTTTGATCCCTGGTACCGATAAAAACGAAAAGGACAAAAAAAAAAAAAAAAAAAAAGAAAAAGAAAAGGAAAAAAAAGAAAAAAGCCCTATGGTAAAATCATTTAATTATGGAAATGACAGCACTGTCTTTGGGCTGGCATGTAACTGCTCCAAAAGTTACTAGGAACAGTGGGTATCTCTTCATGGAGGGATTATGGGGCAATAGTAATATTGTTCTTTCTGTTTTTTAATGTTTTCCACATTTTCTATAGTAAACATTATTCTTTCATGAAATGATTTTCTAAAACTTCAAGCTCTTGATAAACACAGGTTGCTTGGAGGGATGTCCTTATAGGCATATGAACGTTGACAAACATCTGAGCTCAACTGTGTGTCAGACAGCCCTTAGATTTCAGTCGTGTTCAGTAGGACAAAGGGGCAAATTCAAACAGGAGTGATTAGAGATAAGACAAAGACACTGTCTGGGAAGATGGTCTACAGAAAGAGGTAGGAAATAAACATTTCTCCCGAGCTCTTCCAGAAAAGCCAAAGAACATCATCAAGTGGGGAAGGGGTCTTCCTCCCCAGCTCACCCTCCCTTGGACAGGGCCCAAGTGTTGGTACCTGAAGGATGGTGGGCACGGTTTCATCCAGGTCATTATAGTAACTTGGTTGCTGGATGAAGATATTTCCTACAGAGAGAGAGAGAGAGAAAGAGAGAGAGAGAGAGAGAGAGAGAGAGAGAGAGAGAGAGAGACAGAGAGACAGAGAGAGATAGATAGAGAGAGGGGAGACAGAGACAGACAGGCAGAGAGAGAGGGAGACAGGCAGAGAGACAGAGAGACAGACAGGCAGAGTGGCAGACAGATAGGCAGAGACAGACAGACGGACAGGCAGAGAGAGACAGACAGATAGAGAAGTGGGGAGAGGTAGAAACTTACATTACAAATGGTTTCCAGTATGTTTTGTGACCTTTTTCCCTTTTCTTAAGTGCCTCTGTAGTTAGAACCTTTAGCAAGGCCTGGCCTAGGGCCCTGTTGGCACTGAGGTTTGATCTACCCTGGAAACTTCCCCTAGATTAGGGAGGGGCTTTCCTCAGTACAGTTTAACCTTTTGAATACTTCTGTCTAGTAAATTACATAAAAGACTTGCCTTGGTCAAACCGGCTTGCCCTGATGTCCCTAGGGAGAGACCAAACTTAGGTACCATACCTAAAGTGTGACAGCCTGGCTTTGAAAGTGGGAGTTAGTCATCCAGGAAAATTATGAAATATAATCTCTTTGCTCAAGAAACCTGAATGCAACAATGCCAGGCCATGCCTCCAAAATGTGAGAAGTGTCCAGGGAGAAACTTCTCTAAAAATTTTCTTGGTTTTAAATATGCTATCACTTCATTCTACTCCAAGTGAAACACCTGAGAGGGATGTGGACATGGATTCAGCACACGTGTGGTTGTTCCTGTAAGATGAAGTCTTCTGAGTGTTTACTAATTTTTCAACTGATGCTGCTGTGCATGTGTAGGTCAGAGCATAAACCAAGTGGAACAGAAATTGAGGGTTCTGTTCCCTAAATGGTGAGGGAGAGAAGAAAGCAGAAAAGTCACAACTAACTGGGAATAAGATGACAACAAATGCCAACATCCTTAAGAGAAAAGGGTTCTTTATCTCATCATAATCTTTGTATCTAAGAGTGGAAGTTGGGTGCTCTGAATTTTAGGTGTCCTATGTCTCTGGGTGTGGTTTCTTTACTGACAACTCTGCAATTCTGGTCCTACCCCACAGCATCTAAAATAAGAAACTCATTAATTACTGTCCTTTCTGTCAGCTCTTTCCTGAATACTACTTCATCCCTTGATATCAGAGAGCTCAGTTTGACTAGCCTAGGCTTTCTCAGGACTCCTACTCCAGATGAGTGGTAGTTCTGCAAACTGTAAAGATGCATCCGGACCATATGCACCCATCACTTCTGGATAGGCCAGGAATGTCTGAGCTCTCCCTCACCAACCTCTGCTGCTCCTCATGAAGTTCTATCCTGTCCTTCACAGTCAGGTCTGAACTCCTGATCATGGCACAAACAGTTTATGAGATCTGGCCCCTGTTGATATTCTGGGTCACCTGTTCTCCATTCCCTGTGTTGTAGTCCTCCCTTACATTATCCTCCACCTCAGTCAGCAAGCTCTGTCCCTTTCTGCTGCCTGAAATGACCTCCCTCCCAGAGCTAGCTCTACCATGAGGTAAGTGTCACATCTTCCAGGCAGTGCCTCCAGACACAGACAATAGAAAGAAGTTTCCACCCATAACCCCTGGGGTCATAATATATTCCCCCCTCTCATAAGCCTCTAGTGCTAAAGCCTATAACAATGCTGTTTTTCAAGCATCAAGATAGCTCAGTCATCACAAATCTATCCTTGGCGTCTTCTGAGTCCCTTTCCTTTCCTTTATCTGATTTCAACAATAGTGAAAATCTCTCCAGCTTCTGATCTCTTAAAAAAGAAATAATAAAAAGGTAAGGGATAGCAATAGCATCCTTTGAACTGCCCCTTCTCAGATGAAAGCAGTTCAGAAACCCATGGTGAATAAGAGATACTGCCAAACAGATCAGTGCAGTCCAGGAAAGGGCCATGACCCAATTTACTCTGGTTTTGCAAAGCAGCTCCAAGAGAGACTAAAAGGCTTAAAAAAAAAAAAAACAAAACTACACTTGCTGATTCACAGTATCAGCCTTGAAGGCTTTGCAAAAAGGGAAGGGTAAAGCTTGGCTTGTGCTCATAGGACAATTGACCAGTTCCCCTTTTCTCTCCTGTCAATTCTCTTACAAGGGATTGCTTTGCCCACGAATTTCTGTTGTATTAAAAGTGTAGGCAGCTGCTTGTGCTTGGGGCTTAAGGACTGAAAAGAAAGTTGCTGTGTGTAAGATGGAGGTTTGGGGGCTGGGGATTTAGCTCAGCGGCATAAGTGCCTGCCTTGCAAACAGGCAGTCGTGAGTTCGATCCCTGGTACCGGTAAAAAGGAAAAAGACAAAAAAAAAAAAAAAAAAAAAAAAAAAAAAAAAAAAAAAAAAAAAGATGGAGGTTTGGAGGATGGAGGGAGAGAGAGACAGAGAAACAGATTGACTGACTGCAACCTCCTTCTCTATACCTGCCACTCTAAACACACACACACACACACACACACACACACACACACACACCTCTTAATAAGTCAGTTTAAGATTCTCAACCTGAGAGCCTGTGAACAATTTTAAAACACCTTTAAATCTATGGAACCATCTTTCATCAGATTCTCAAAGGAGCCAGTGACCCAAAAGCCTGGGGAACAGGGCAGCAGGCAAACCTGCTCAATCCACCATCACTATGCCATCTCCCGAGGGATCCTCAAAGCCACCTTACACCTGACACATCCCTCGGTGACTTCATGTCTACTTACAGTCACACTTCTCACATCCCAAAGGCCCTTTTTCTGTAATCTATACCAGTTTTCTCCACAACTATTAAGACTTCTCTTTCCAGCTGACTTGATGGAGCCCTACTTTGTCTCCCAGATGTCCTTTTCGGCTCCAGTCACAAACCAGGCTCTCACCTTTACACCCACATGGATGTTCCCACCTTCTCTGTGGCCTCCTGTCTTCCTTCACCTTCTCCCTGCATGCTGCCGGACTAACCTGTCACCAGATGGCCCCCTGCCCTGCTGCTCTAGGTTCTACAGCCTCATTACAGTCAGAGTGTGTACTTGCTGAGTAACTGTGTCATGGCAGGCTTTGTGCTGAGTGTGCCATTCACACTGCCTCCTATTTAATCTCTATAGCCACCCTATATGGAAGTTATGTCATTGGTCTTCCCATTCTCCAGATAAGAAAGCTAAAGTTTAGAGTGGATCACTGACTTAAGCTGACACAGCCAGGAATAGAGCTGGGCTGTAGATTGGGCTGGTTATCTCCAGAGCCTGCTGCTTAGCCACCAAGCAATGCCACTCCCCAAGTGCTGAGGGCCCACATGGAGCCCTTCCCGATATGGCTTCGGCTTCCTCCCCTCTGCCTCCTGTTGCTGTCTTCCTGGAATGCTCAACTCTAACTAAACTGGTCTAGTAATTGTTTTCATAATTATACCTTCTGTTGCTCACTCACCCTACCCTCTCAATCTTTAGTAAGAATATTAAGACTCTTCTCCTGGGAAAACTTCTTTAAAAAAGGATTAAATGGTGATTAAGCTATAATTCGATTTGAATGAGAAAACAGACTGTTCCAGTTTTAAAAGGCTAGATGCAAAATTGCATATACATTATAGTCTAAATATGGTTTTACAAAAAAATATATAAAGATGTTAAACATGGCTGTGCATCTCAGCTATAATCTCAGTGCACGGAGGGCTGGGGCAGGAGGATCATAAGTTTAAAACCAGCTGGGGTATAATGCAAGTTCAAGGCTAGCCTGGGCTCTGGAGTGAGACTCTGTCTCAAAAAACATATACAAAAATGACTGGAAGGAACCAATTACCAAGTAGTCATGTCTTGTGGGAATCTGATAATTTCTTTATACTTTAACTCCTTTTGAAACTCTATAAGAGAAGAAAGAAGAAAGGAAGAGACTATCTCAAAGGATAACTCAGTTTTGTATTTAGAAGACTGTCTGTTGTATGATCTTGGGATGAGGAAGACTGGCAGAGGTGTCCAGGTGACCACCCCCCTGTGCTAGGCCCAATGCCATTAGCTGCAATTCAAAGAGGAATTTCCTGAGGAATTTTCTCTGTGACACCCCGTCAGTGCTTCTTCTGTTTCTGATTGAAATTTCTAGACCACCACAGCCTCAAGGGATCCAATTGCTAATGTCCATTCTTTTTACAACTCCAAAAGTGTTTTGTGAGTTCTGTCCCATCTGTTCTCAGTGATGGTATAAATTGTGGGGGTTTTTTTGTACCAGGAATTGAATTCAAAGCTATATTCCTGGCCCTAAACTGTGCCATACCGATGGCAGCCCCATCACCCCTGAAGTAAGGAGCACAAAGAACAAGAGCTTGAGGATCAGATCTCCACAGCTACAGGTCCCAGCTTGGTTACTTATTAGTCACACGCTGTCAGACATGTTCCTCAGTTTAAGCTGGTGTCCTCATCTGTATATGGGGAGGATAACAACACTTTATCTCTGAGGGCTGCTGTGAAGAGCCAATGGGGACACCAATGTGACATGCCTGACATGTCAGGGGCCCAGGCCACATTCAAATAAAAATAGCTTGGGATATAGCTCAGTGGTATAAGTGCCTGCCTGCCAAGTGCAGAGCCCTGAGTTTGATCACTGGTACGAAAATAAACAAAACAAAACAAAGATAAACTGTCATTTTTTTTAAAACTCTCATCATCAAAGTAAACTTTCTCATTACTGCCATTTTTTTGATACTTGGGCTAACACTAAGATTTCCAGATCCTTGAGGAACTACGTATCTGGTAGTTCTTTATTTAGTTAGTTATTTTTTTGCCTTCACTCCCTAGTTGCCACCTAGTCACTTCTTTTAGAGTTGACACTCATATATCTTTAGGTAGTTTCTGGTACTTATTGTTCACCTATACCGCTCTGAATCCCCTGTACCATCTAAGTGTCAGCCTCTATGACTCTGTTAGGTATATGGGGGCAGTTCGGTGCATTCCCTGGGCCCCAGGCCCTGCATACCTATCATCTTCTGGAGGAGTGGTGAGTTTCCTTTTCCAAAGAGCACACAGAGGTCCAGGATCTTTGGGATGTCAAAAAGGAAGTTATTGTAGAGGATTTCTCCAAATGCAGAAGGGGAAATAAAGTGATCCTAAGAAAAAGAACAAGAGAAAAAGGATGGAGACTCTCTGAATGCTCATACTTTGTACAGTGATCAAACTCATAACAAACAACCTGTAGGCCTACCAGCTGGGAATCAGCTAATGAATGACAGTCTGTCCATCTTATGGACATTTCTGAGCTTCACATACAGTCACTCTCAATTTTAACATAAAAAGAAGCAAAAATACGCCAGGAGACAACCAGTTGGGGGTTCATTCTGAAATATTTATAGGTAAATTATCAAAAGGTCTGGGATTGTATAAAATAAAAAAAAGAAAAAGGAAAAAAGGAAACTCTGGGAGAGATAAGTAGCAAAATGCTAGTTGTTAAGCTGGGTGATAGTCACATGAGATTCATTGCACTCTGCATGGGAAAGTTTTGCGGAAGTACATGCACATATTTGAAAATGTCAGGCATGGTGGCACACGCCTGTAATCCCAGCACTCAGGAGGTTGAGACAGGAGGATCACGGCAAGTTTGAGGCCAGCTTGGGCTATAAAGTAAGTTCAAAGTGCATAGTGAAACCCAGTCTCCATCCCAAAAAGTATTTTTAAAGATTCTATCATCATCATCATTTTTTTCTACAGTGCTGGGGAGAAAACCAAGGCCTTTCACATGCCAGGCAAGCACTCTACCACTCAGCTACATCTCAGTCAGGGTTTAAAAAGTCAGAATCAATGTCTTTACCCTCTGACGCACAAGTAAAGGAACAGTCACGCGTCAACTGGCAAAGGGCCCTCGGCTTCCATTGATGAAAACACTGGGTGTCAAAGGCCTAGTGAAGTAAAGGATAAGGATGTGGCACAGATTTCTTCCCCAGTGGTAGGAATAAAGGTGGAGTAAAGACAAAGAGGAAACTTGATGCTTCCAGAGCCTTCCTTCCCAGGGGTAGAGAATCAGCACCGAGGTATCTGGTGTCAGGTGGTGACCAGTCACGGGATCAGAGGCTTACTTTGGATTCCTTGTGTGTGGACATTCGGAGGAAGGTGAGGAAAACACTCCGATGTAAGTGCTTCTGCATTTCAGCAACCTCAGGGGTCGGGGCCACCCACTCGTCGAACTTACGGGGGACATAGCGCAGATAGGAGTCCAGGCACTTTTGCAGGGTCTCATCAAAGATTACCTAAGCCAGGCAACACAGGATAGCAAGGATTTATCCTTAGGTCCATGTTCCTACTGATGGACCCCGGCCTACTGCCAATACTCTAACCCCAAGGAACAAAGGAGGTACAAATGAGCTGAGGGCTAAATACAAGTTTCTAAAAAAATGACATTTTGGAAGGTGTCATTGATGTGTTTAACATCATTAAGATTGTGATATAAGACAACAACTCCAACCACAATTTGCTGTTAAGGATCCAGTGTAAGAAGTAGAGAAAAAAGCACCTTCTATGGGAAGAAAAACAACAACATCAACCAACTAAGAGCACGTCATGTGCTTTGTCTTAGTGTTAATTTTGATAGAATGTTACCTGGCACCAGAATTTATCGTGAGGCAAGGCCAGGAGCCAGTCGAGGTCATTGGCTACGAAGGTGGCGCGTTCCAGGTACTCCTCCACTAGGGCGGGAATGTTGTCTTTAGGGGGCGGTTTGTATAACACAAAATACCGGTCTGCCTTCTGCTCGGGGTGCTACGGATCCAAAAACCACGTGTTAACGTGGCAGAAGTTAGTCAGTGAGGGCCCATTTGCCAACCCACAGCAATGACAACACTTGGCTGTTCTAACCGGTGAGCCTCCAAGGAGTTTTTAAGCACAAAGAACCAAGTGTATCTAACAAAGGGGGCATGGTTGCACCCAGGGAACACAGGGCAGTTTTAAAAATCGTGTTTTTGGAGAGAATTTGATGGCATGGGGAAAGGTCAAGGGAAAAGAAAGCGGGACACAACACTCTCTATTTAATATAATCAATTGAGGTCTTAAAAAAGTACATATATTCATACACTGGTACCGATTTTTAAAAAACAAAGTAAGGGGATGAAATCCCAGTTACTACTGGATATCTCTGGGGGTGGGAGCAGCAAAGGAGATTGTGGCATGAATATAGTTTCCAAGCTTTAAACAGTGAACATGTAATATTTTAAAATGATTTTCAATTATACAAGAAAGCAGCTGGGAGTGGTAGTGTGGGCCTATAACTCCAAGTAGGGGTTACTTGGAGGCTCAGGCAGGAGGAACACAAGTTCAATCTCAGCCTCAGAGATTTAATGACTTAGTGAGACCATGTCTCAAAAAAAGTGGATGTGTGGCTTCATGCAAAGGTCCTGGGTTCAATCCCCAGTGCCACAAAAAAAAAAAAAAAAAAAGGTAAAGTATAAGCACCTTTTCATTCAAAAACTTAACAGCGTGGGCTGGGTGTGGCTTAGTGGTAGGTCAAGGGTAAAGTCCTCATTTTGATCCCCAGCACCAAAAAACAAACAAACAAACAAAAAACAAAAACAGGAAATAAAAACAATGCTACAGAGGCGGTGAGTCACTTGGGACCATACTTCCAATCTCCAATATTTCCCAGAGATCCTTCTTTTTTGTTTGGTGTCCTGGCAGCCTGTTTGTAGGCATTTTGTAAAACACAGCTACATGAAGTATTTGGGTCTGTTTTTTCTTTCTGATACAAATAGCATTATACATATCACTGTTTTTTTAATGCCCAGAAAAACAAATCTCAGTGAATTTTTAAAAGAAGATTCCAATCAAGTAGCTGTAGTTCTTAGAGTCACAAGTTCCCTCTTCCAGCACTTACCACATCATGAACAGACCTTACTCTGTTACCATAGAGGAGATGGGGTCAGTTTTCTCCAGACTGTATAATGGTGGCTTTCTCTGGTGGAAGTGGTAGCAGGAAAAAGGCCAGGCAACAGCTCAGCTTTTACCAACCAGCACCCCGCCCTCAGCACTGTCTGCCCAGGGGACATAGAACAATCAAGACTGATAGTCCTTAGCCTCTGCAAGAATCACCTAGGCTTCCTCCTGTACAATGAAGGTTCATAAACTGAAGAGTCCTTGTGTTCCACAGCGATTCACTGGGGCCACCTAACATCGGAGTCTGAAGGATTTCTTCCTTTATTTATTTATTGTTTGCACCAGGGATTGAACTCACGACCGCGTGTTTGTCAGGCAGGTGCTTATGCTGCTAAGCTAGATCCCTTGAAGGATTTCTTCCTATTTAAATGTGATTTACATAGTGGGGTCCCAGGTACAAATCTGTTGAAAAAGGAAGTGTATGGACTGGAATTCATTCAAAACAATCTAGAATCTTAAGTTCATCTTCTTGGCTTCCAAACTTCCCGCCTTCTCCCTGTTAATACCTTACCTTACCTCCTAGATCACACCGGCTAAGTTAGGCTACTTGTTTCTTTCTCTCTCCCTCCTGCCCTCCCTCCCTCCTTTTGGTCTTTCTCTCACACACACTCATACACGTGTGCCCTGAGATTCTACCTTCCTTGTAAACCTGCTAATATTTACTTGACTGCCACTCCCAGGTAAAGAATAAAAGCACCCAGATCCTTACAGAGTCCACACTCTGTATCTAAGCCACCAAGGGAGCTCCAAATGAAAGGACATGACAGTTCAAATCTGTGAGGGTCATAGGAGTACCAGGGACAATTAACAGTGCCTTGAAGATGAAGGATGGCTTCTTATGGCAGTCAGCATCTAAGCTGAGCCTCAGAAAAGAAAAAGGTTTGTTAGGTGGAAGAAATAGCATTTTATGTAGGCATAAAAACGGGCTGTAAAAAGTGCACAGACTGCATCAGACACTGAGCGATGGATCTGGTGAGAGGTAGAATAATAAAAACTAAAACCAAAATTTCCTGAGGACCAACCTATGCCACTGCTGAGTAGGCATGTTTCACGTTCTATTTCTTTTTGACCTATAACTAGTTAAAAGGGAGATAGATTTTTTCCCATTTACAGAGGAATAAACAAAGTAAGGTTCATGAACTTTACAAGATCATGAAGTTAAGGAGGCAACTAATGTAGGATTTGACACAAAGCTCATGCTGCAGACCTCTGATATCCATGTCTATCCTGGTCTCTGCATCTGTCTGAGTCTAGCTCTCACCTCATTCCCTTCAGAAATCCTCTACGACTCCCACCTTTCTGGATCAGAAGTTCACCCGGGCTCTCCCCCAACACCTGTACTTTGCTCACCTGAATGTGGCACCTGTTAAAACTGTATCATAAGTGCTTTTAGATTGGGAGTGGTGCTATATACCTGTAATCTCACCACTCTAGAAAACTGAGGCAGGAAGATCACAAGTTCAAACCCGCCCTAGGCAACTTAGTGACTTACTGAAACTCTGTCTCAAAATAAAAACTTGACAAAGGACTGGAACTACAGCTTAGCTCAAAGACACTGAGTTCAAATCCCAGTACCCTCTGACCAAATAAAGTACTTTTAGGTTACTGGTTGCTGTGGACAGGGAGAGAGAAAGGGATTGATTATGGATGGACACAAGGAGACTTTTGAGTAAGGTGAAATGTCTTGATTGTGGTGAATGTTTCATGGGTCAATATAGATACTCTATCCAACTAGATTGTACACTTAATTATGTACCTGGGTATAGTGGCACTCAGGATTGACATGAGTTCAAGGCCAGCCTCAGCCACATAGTGAGTTCAAGGCCAGTTTAAAATGCATATGTAGACCTTATCTCAAAAAAAAAAACAAAAACAAAACAAAAAAAAAAAAAACAACTGTGTAGTTCTACTGATACTATAAAGTTACATAAAAAGTAAGTCTGCCTTCTCCAATGTGTCTCCAACTAGGTATATGTCTCCCGAGGCAGTCAAACCTTACGAGTCCCTACGACAGTGCCTGCCATTATGCATACTTCTTATACATATTTGCTGGCTGGGTGAAGGAAAGGATGGAGGTAACAAGTGACTAGATACACCCCTAGCAGGTTTGGTATGGTTGTAATTGGATTATGAGGCTTATAGCTGACATGGTTAGAAGGTGGAGTCTGGTTAAAAAAGTGCATGTCACTGAGAGAGTGATCGAGAAGGATTTATCTTCCTCCCTGGCTTCTCCCTTTGCTGTCTGCTTCCTGCCCACCATGTTGTGAGCAGTTCTCCTCTACCATGTCCCTCTGCCATGCTGCTCCATCTTGGAGTCAGACAATCATGCAAGGACTAAAATTTCTAAAACATGAACCAGTTAGGTGTAGTGGCACATGCCTGTAATCCCAGCACTCAGGAGGCTGAGGCAGGAAGACTGCTGCATGTTCAAGGCCAGCCTGGGGTATAAAATAAATTCAGGCCAGCCTGAACTGCACAGTAAAACTCTGTCTCGAAAAGACAAAAACAAAGTGAGGCGAGGTGGCTCATGCCTATAATCCCAGTCCTTGGGAGGTTAGAAGGTAGAGTCTCACACCTGTAATCACAGCACTCAGGAGGATCACTGTGAGTTTGAGACCAGGGCTACAAAGTGAGCTCAAGGCCAGCCTGAACTGCACCCTGTCTCAAAAAGACAAAAAAAAAAAAAAAAAAAAAGAGAGAGAGAGAGAGAGAGAGAGACAAAAACAAAGAAACAAACAAACAAAAAACCTGACATGTGAGCCAAAGTAAACTTCTCTTTCTTTAAATTGTAGGCATCAAATATTATGTACCAATGACAAGGAAAGTAACTAAGACAGGTCCTATGTGCTTTATAAAGCTATGAGAACATCCACTGCCAATCAATCTTCTGGAAGATCTTGCTAAGAAATTGTTTGCACTGTTCTTTAAGCACCACTTGCACCTCTCACCCTGCAAAGGCACTGTGGTAAGTGCTCTTTGGCTGGAGGCATTTGTGACCCAAGATGAAACTCAAGACAAATATGGGTTGTCAAAACACTCTTATAGGAGCTTCCTTACCCTTCAGGGTAATATTTCTTAGTATGACCAACAAGACCCTTCCCCCATCAGACAGCTATTTCCCTCGGTTCACTCTTCTTGCTACTCTAACCCCATTCAATGCTACTATCACTATGAATACTGTCAGCACCATCATAACTGTAATTTATTAAGTGTTGACTATATTTCTGGCACTGTGCTACTTCACAGACATTTTGTTTAATGCTTATAGCCATCCTATTAAGTTTGGCCTATTATTACCATTTTTGTACCCTGAAACTTAAGAGGGGTAAGTACCTTGCCAAATATACCTGAGATGAATGCAAAGCTGTGCTCTTTAGCTATGCAACACTGCTGCCACTCTAGTAACTGGTGGTTGCTGTAGGAGTCAGGCTTTCAGCTACTCAGGCTACTCAGATCTTTCAGCCATGTCCTCCTTTCTCCCAATGCTGTTTCTGGCTAGTATTTATTCAACCTTCGACACCAAGCTCAGAATTCCCCTCCTGCAAGAACCCTTTTCTTCACGCAAGTATCCTCTCACTAGTCCCAAGACCTTTTGGTCACCCACTACCACTTCATTGATCTGGACTGGTGACGCAGCTCTGCTCATGTCACTCACTGCCTGGCTTTCATTCTAGCACATCCTGATCACACTGTCACAAATCTACCAGTAGCCGGGCGTGGTGGCACACTCCTGTAATCCTAGCACTCAGGAGGCTGAGGCAGGAAGATCATTGCAAGTTCGAGACCAGCCTGGGCCACAACTGCATAGTGAGACCCTGTCTCAAAAAGACAAAAAAATAAATAAAAATCTACCAGTGTGTTTTCCCCTTAGGCTGTGGCATCCCCCTGCCCCATCACATCACAGGCAGGGATCACATCTTTTCTATTTGTAGCTTCAGCTCCTGGCACTAGGGCTGACTGTGGTCTCTAATTTATTTGCCAAATGTTTCCTGAGAGTCTACTAAGTGCCTGGCATTAAGAAACTAGGAGTGAAGAGATGGCCCAAAACTCTGCTGTTGGAGCCCACAGATTACAACTTAGGTGTTCATTCAATACATAGGGAAGGACTGAGGTAGAAAATCAGACTCGGGCTGGGGATTTAGTTCAGTGGCTTAAGCGTCTGCCTGGAAAGCACGAGGTTGTGAGTCTGCATTTCAAACACTAGCCATATTGCAAGTACTCAATACTGACATGTGGCAAATAGCTATCTATTGGGTGGCTTTTCTAAAGAGTACAGTTCTACGTTTTCTGATAAATATCCTCTGTATATGAAAAGGTCATAAAATAAAACAAGAGGCTTTAAGCACAAATGTTAAGGATTTGAAGTTTGGGATTAGCCTGTATGGTTTCCTATCTTTGTGTGTGTGTGTGTGTGTGTGTGTGTGTGTGTGTGTGTGTAGTACTGGGAATCAAACTCACAACCTTGCACTTGCCAGGCACGTGTTATGCCACTGAGCTGTATCTCTGGACATGGCTTCCCATCTTGTTCTAATTTCCTAGTTCTGTGACACTAAAGTCAGATTCCTCACCTGTAAAATGGGGATAAGCACAATATCCATTCATAGCGCTGTGATGTGGCTTAAATGGCATAATTCAGGTGAAGCATTTAGAATGGTTTGGCCCAGAGTAAGTACTCTATAAATGTTTGGTACTATTATTATAGACTGTTTAGCATGTAATAGCCTATCTAGCAGGCAGGAAATAAAAAACTAGACTTCTATTTCCCATGACTTTACTCAAGTCTCTAGAAAATACTTCCTCCCACCTTGATCAAGTAAACTCATATTCTTGGGAAAACAACATGTGGGTATAGGACTCCGTCCCTGTATCTGTCTCCTTCTTTAGTAGACTGGCACCTCTCCATGGCTCTAATCTTTCTCTCTAGCTGGGAACTGGCAGGTTCACAGCCTCCTTAGTTTTCAGTCTCATAAGCCCTGATGGAGTCTCTGTATGTGGCATTTCTTATCCCAGGTAAGATAAAAGATAGTTCAACCTCTGAAATCAGCACTCTCACTGAAACGTGGGTAAGCACTGTAGAGTATACCATTTTTTTCTTTTTTAAGGTAGACAGAATATTCCCACTTAGTGTACCTGTTTTCCTTTTTTAAAGATAGCTCTGAAAATGTCCTACCTGAAACCTGAATACCTCTGCAGGATCTAATCCCCAAACATGGCTTTGCATTGAATCTCTTTCTAGCCAGCTTGGGCTGTATCAGAATTGCCATCAAAATGCATGGAAAGTAAATGCTTTGGGTGGGAGTGAGGAGATGGGATGGTGACATTGGAAATGCTACTCAAATCTGGGCTCAGAAGGAAACAATGGGCTTGGAAGGAACTAGTAGTGTCTCAGCTTCTGAATTACTAACTATGGCCCTTTGGGTCGTTCTTGCAACAGATAAGGAAGGAATTTACTTTTTGCTTCTAAAATTGCAATACGGATAATAATTAGATTGAATGGCCGCAAGGCCCTTGGCTTACCAGTGCTGGTGAAGTCTTCTGCTTTCCTGTCTTCGGGTCCTTGTGAGTGATCTGGAGTTGATCCAGGGGCAGAGATGGCATTGTGCTGCGTGACCCTCCTGAAAGGAATATGTATGGGAAGAACAGAGCAGACACATAGACTCCTAAAGACAGGGGTCCAGGTCTGATCCCAGAGCCAGAAGAGAAGCATTAGCCCCTAGTCTTTGTGTGCTCCAGATGTGGGCCTCCAGTAGCTAGCTTATGTGCTATTGATCCAGATAAAATGCTGTTTTGCTGAAAGCAGTCATTCTCAACTGTGAAGGCATAGACTTTCCAGTGACTCCCATTCCTCTGGAGAAGTACTAGCTGAAAAAGTACATGGATTATTTTTACTTTCTTTTTTTTTTTTTTTTTTTTGGTAGTACTGGAGATAGACTCTATGACCTCGTACAATAACAAGCAAAAACTCTACCACTGAGCTACACCTACACCTGTGGCCCACTAAATTATCTTTATTATAGCGCCAGCTCAGTAGTCCATGAAGACAGACTAGGGTGTTGCAAATCTGGCTGGGGAAGCAGGTGTGTCTTGTTAGTTACAGAATCACAGGACATAGGCAGAACATTTCCAAAAGCCCTACATGTGGATGTTTGGGGAGAGCTTGAGCAGGTTTTTAGTAAGGTACCCTAGACCTGATGTCAGACTAAGGAGTGGAAGATATAAAAGGGACAGTTGCTATTGAGCCTCCACTGTGTACTCTCATGCTGTACAGTGTACCTTCTTTCCTACCTCCTCTTGGCCCAAACTTGCTCTGCAGAGCCTGTTTCTTTTCCTACCTTTAATAAATGTAAAACCTTGCCACTGTTTGTGTTTGTCTTGACTAATTCTGTGTGCAGGACAGAAAAATCCTACAAACCACCTCTAGGAGACTCCAGACCCAAAACATTGTGAACTCTATCAAGATACTGCTTAGGACTCTACTTCCCTTACTACTTTTCCTAATGATCAGCAGACTTGGAACAGACACAGACATATCAAATGTCTGAGTAATAACTAACTAGGGCATTCTTGTTACAACTCTCACCAGATCTTTCAGGTCTTTTAAGGATTGGAGCCATAGGCCCCTTCTTGCTCACAGAAGGTGTTAAGATTTATAGAATCTCTAGGCTTCAAGGAAAAAGGACATGATGAATAGGAGAACCAGATACTAAGAAAATTCACAGAAACCTGCCAGGGCAGGCTCCTTTGCATAGAGCACCAAACCTGCTGCAAAAGCAGAAATTGGCACTGGGTGTGACTAACTGCTAGAAAGTGCCCTTAGCATACACAAGGCCCTCGGCTTGATTGCTGGCATAAAAAAGTCAAAAATAAAAAACCCAGAAATGACAGGTTTCTGTCTTTCATCTAATCTTTTTTTCACAAAAGCACTGGGCCTGCCCCATAGAAGGACACAAAAGTTGACCAAATCGTAGAATGAATGTAAAAAAGGCATGTCATTTAAGGCTAGTAGGATCTCAATGGCAACAGATCAAGGCAGGGCAGAGGAAACTGTCACTTCTTAAGCACTCACAGACAAGCTGAGGGGCAGGTCAGTCATATATGAACAGGTGTCCTATATCTCAGATTTCAGACCAGGCCCTGGTGTTATGAAGACAGATAAGCATAGGAAAGAAACATACCCTAGACAGAGGAAGTAGAGGATCAGAGGACAGGAGAAGGAAGCAGCAAGGTACACTGATTCTAGTCTGTTTATTATGTTTTTAAGGGTGTCCCAGCTGGCCTTGCACTCCTTGGCTCAACTGAGCCTCCTGATTCAGCCTTTCCAATAGTTGGGACTACAGATATGCAACACTGTGTCTGGCTTCTGGTCTGTTTTAAAAACTGTGACAATCCCTTCTCAAGAGGGATATAATGAGAGAAAACTAGTCTGTCTAGTTTTCAAGGCCTGTTTTAGCTCTAGAAACCTTGCGCACAAAATTTTCTGAAAAAGTCAGGTACTGCAGCATATGCCTGCAACTTCTGCAACTGGAGAGGATATGGCAGGAGGATTACAAGTCCAAGGCCACCCTGAACAACCTAGTCAGACTGTCTCAAAATGAAAAAACGGGGTGGGAAAAACAGCTGGAGATGTAGCTCAGTGGCAGGGGTTCAATCCTCAGGAAGGAAGGCAAAGTAATCAAGGGTTTGGGGTAAGTTTTCATGTTACAGCTTTGCCAAGCATAGATAATATTCATTGTATATGAGAGCAAAAAAGAGACAAAGACAGAGAAAGAAAGAGTCTAACTCACTATGTTGTCCGGGCTGGCACTGAACTCCTAGGCTTAAGTGATCCTTTTGCCTCAGGCCCCTGAATACCTAGGGATAGGGCACATGCCACTGTACCTGGCTATGCTATTTTAAGTCGGGTTACTATCTTACTTGCTTCTTAGGAACTTCAATCTATAATAATAAGAATTATTATGTTCACATGTCTAAAGGAGGTGTAGATCCTATCTGCTCAAGGCAAATACATTTGTGACCAATTTAAAATTGATGTCCAGTCCTTCTGCTTTGGCATGTGGGGCTCACATGTGGAAGCATTAAAGTATATTTTATTCTCTTTAATCCCAGTGTTGCTGGCCTCCCAGCTGGAAAATCCAATAGGTTACATGCCAGAAACCTAAACAACTCACAGGTCTAATTCTTTTCCCGATTCATCCACAAGAGAGGGTAGTGGGAGTGTCAGGGATGGAACCTGAAGGTAAGGAGAGAGTCGTGAATAGGAGGCAGATCTTCATCCTTTAAATTCAAGGCCTGAGTTCAGATCTAGACAGGTTGAGGCACCTGCTTTCAGAAGAAATTTATTCTTGCCTGTAATCCTAGCACTTGGAAGGCCAAGGTAGAAGGACTGCCACGAGTTTGAGGCCAGCCTAGACTACTTAGCAAGACCCTGTCTCAAAACAAAACAACAAGAAAACAAGGAGAGGGGAGGAGGAGAAGAAATGCACTCCTATAAGCCATACAAGCCAGTGCCTACAAAGGCAGTTCAGCTGGGCGTGGCAGCACATGCCTGTGAGTTTAAGACCAGCCTGAACTGCATAGCAGAAACCTGTCTCAAAAAGACCAAAAAAAAAAAAAAAAGTCTGTTTAGGGTAAGGCTAATGCAGTAAAGAGATCTATCTCTATGATCCTATAGCCTAGCTTTAAATCCTGGCTCCATGTTTTCCTGCACATGTTAAGCCCTGAGGCAGTTCTCTGACCTCTCTCTCTCTCTACTGTTTGACTTTCTTATTTCTTTTGAGACAAGGTCTTGCTACATGGTTCAGGCTGGCTTTGAACTCACAATGGAGCCCACGTTGGCCTCAAACTCATGGTGACTCTTCTGTCTCAGCCTCCCATGTGCTGGGATTATAGGCAGATGTCACCATGTCCAGCTTCCTTGATTTTCTTATCTGTAATATGGAGTGGTAGGGCCAGGGATTCAGTTCAGTGGCACAGGGCCTGCCTGGCAAGCATGAGGTCGTGAGTTCAATTTCCAGTACAAAACAAAAAATCTAGGATCATAGTAACACATTATCTCTAAGGGTTGCTCCGAGAAATAAAGCTAAACGTTCAACACAGTATGTGGCACATACACTTAGCCTCCATAAAGTTTAGTTGTTATCATTAGAGTTTCAAAGGCAGAGAGCATTTTGTGCTTCCTCATTTATTCAGCATTTTGGGTCCTGGTCATATAAATATCATCCAATGTTAGAGCTATAACAGGAACTGGCCAAAACTAGAGCGCAGAAGAGAAGGGAGGAAGGCACAAAGGCACAATAGGGTAACATAATTGGATGTTGAAGAACAGGAGGAAAAACTGGACATTCCAAGCAAAGAACAAACATGAGCAAAGGCTCAGAGTCACAAAAAGTGTGGCTTTGAAAAAGGAGGAATATATTTCATGTTGCTGAAAACAGAGTAAAGAAGACAATGAAAGTGAGGAGGAAAGAGGTTGGATAGGGAAGATAGAACCAGTTTAAAAACAGGCTTCAGTGCTATGCTATGCTATGAGCTCTCATTTGGAGCCAGTGAGGAGTTACTTAAAAAAGAGAGACACGCTCCAAAGAGAACATGAGTAGGATAAGGTGGTGCATGATGTAAAGCCAGCACTCTGAGAGGCTGAGGCAGGAAGAGCTAGTTTGAGTTCTGCCTGGGCAAGTTAAAGACTTGGGAAGTACATGTCTCTAATACATAAATGAAGATGACCATAACCTGGTGCAGGAGAGGCCTCTATGAACCACTGGAGAGCAAACAGTACTGTATTAATGATACTATACTTTTCAGTACTTACTATGTGGCTGGCATTGACACCTGGAGGACAGTAAAACGGGCAAATAACAACCATTCACAGTGCTCATTGTTTTTATGGAAATGACAGATACAAATCGAATAGCCATAAAGTCAACATATTTGTTATACAGACAATGATCAGGTAGCATTTACAGAAGTAACCTGAGGGAAGGAGAATGTCAAATAGGATTTGAGTTTTCTTTCTTTCTTTTTTTTTTTTTTTAGGATTTGAGTTTTCAGTTAAGGTATGAGTAGGTACTTAAAAACACAAGGACAATAATCATGGTTGTACCTATGCCCACCACTATACCTGTGTGGTGTTGGGAAGCAGAAGCAGAGTTAGGAAAGAGCTTTTTCTTAGAAAAGTGCAGTGCAATCACCAATCATAATATGGTCTATGAGCATTCCCAGAGCTACTGTTGCCTCAGTTTCTCTGATTGCCATCACTCTTCTGGCCTAAATTCAACATTACTCTCCCTCTGAAACCTTCCTAAACCGATCTAAAGTATTCACTCTCCCAACTGCTGTCATATCTTTAATTACCGTGTACATTTACTTGTACACTCCCATTAGACTGTCTACTCCATGAAGGCAGAAGCCCTGTGGTGGATTGCTCAGTTTTTATCTCCAGTGCTCAGGTCTGTGCCTGGCACTTAAGAAGCGCTCAACAACTATTTGCTAAACTAATGAATGAAAAAAAAAAAACTAATGAATTAATTCTGAGGACAAAGAAGCCCCAGGGGTGGGAGGTGGGGCTCCCTGGCTTGACTCCTGCCTAGGGAGTCCCATCTTGGAGGGAAGCGGCTCACGGCCCCCGCCCCGTAAGGAAACGTAAGCCTCGGCCCGCCGTGGACACGGGGGCGATGGGCGTGCCAACGCCGCCTGGGGCACGGCCGCCGCTCTTCCCAAGCCACAGGACCCGCATCCAGCAAGGACTAGCCACGCACTCACCTCGGCTGCTTCACCACTGGCCCCGTACCGCCCCCGCAGCCGGCACCGCGGTTCCCAGTGACAGCTGCCGGAGCTCTCGCACTTCCGGGGTCAAACGGCGATTCCGCAGGCGCAGACCGGAAACCCCGGCGCACCCTTGCCCTCAGCGCCAACTGCCACCCTAACGCTGGGCCGTAGCCACGCCCATTCCTAAGACCCCGCCCCCATGATGTGGGGGTTTGCCTGTGACCACGCCCCCTGGTCCTTCCCAGGTTGGGTTAAGTGAGTCCATCTCTAGGAAAATTCAGAAATAGTTCTTAGGACGGCTTTTTAGAATCCAGGTGTCAGTCATTATTCTACAAATTTAATCCAGAAGTTTTAACGAAAAATGTAACAATCTTAGCACACACAAATGAAGGCAGACAAATGAGAACAGACTGTGATTTCAACTTATAAGAACTGGTGTTGATGGAGTTATGATGGTAGTTAGGGTACCTGACTGGTGAATTAGGAGGGCACACAAATGAGGCTGGGGTTATTCCTTCTCTTCATCTTGGTGGTAACTGTAGAGACAGGTTCACTTAGGAAAATACATCAAATTGTACATCGAAGATTTGTGCATTTTTCTGTTTGTATGTAATACAAAATGCACGGCCTTGAGGTTTTGAATCAATTAGTGTAGCTATCTGGCAGATGCAATGTTTCCACAGATCATCTCAGGTGGTGCAGGGTTGGTGGGTCCCAAGCCTGTCTGTGCATCAGAATCACCACACAAAGCTAATTAAGAATACTCATCTCTGGGGCTGGGTGTCACTTAGTGGTACAATACTTTTCTAACATTCACAAGGCCCTTGGTTCTATCCCCAACATTGAAAAAAGAAAGAAGAAAGGCAGGAAAGAAGGGAAGAAGGAAGGAGAAAAAGAGGGAGGAAACATCAAAAGAAAATACTAATGCCTGGCTTTATCTCAGTGCCAGACACACAGTAAACACTCAAAAACAACTGCTATCATGATCATCCAGGTGTCTGGACACTCATAATGGGACACCCAGCCCAGCCTTAGGGAGGGTGAGGTACTATTTTACCCAGCACCAGTATTATTGCCAGGCCATGCTATCTGCCCTCAAGAAACAAAAAGTGCTTAGGCCAGTGCCTGTCTAGAGCTTACAATATAGAGGCACAAGAAAACCAACAACTATGAGGCAATGTGATAAATGCATGGTGTTAAGAAAGTAGGGGAAATGGGTTCTAAACAAGAAATAGGAGAGAGGGATTTGCTAATTACTTATATATAGTGCTATGTAACAATTGCTACAGACCTTGCAGCTTAGCACAGAGGTGGTGAACCTATGGCATGCAGGTTGTTTTTCTTTTAAAACAAAAGATATTAATGTAGGAGTCAGTTTTTCTAAACTAAAACCTCAGTATTCAGGTTTAATTGCAATATTGGCAATTAAATTTTCAAATAAATAAATGGGTCTTGGATTGCAGTTTGGATACTCATTTCTAAAAGGTTTGCCATCACTGACATAGTACAATGTATACTTGCTCACACTGCCTGTGGGTCAGGAATCTGAGCATGGATCAGGAATGGGTCAGGAATGGGTCAGGAATCTCTGCAACTAGATCTCCTCCAAAGCTGCAAGCATGGATCAGCCAGGGTTGGAGTCTCATCTTTAAAAAACAAATGATCAAACAAAAAAACCAAACTGATCGCAAGTTCACATGGTTCAGACTAGGGATATAGCTTAGTTAGTTGTAAATTGCTCACATAGCATGCATGAGGCCCTGAGTTCTGTCCCCAGTGTCATACAACAAACGTCAAAATTCAGGTCTTTACAGTTGTTGGATTCTGTTCCTTGATCTTTGTCAGATGCTGCTCTCAGTTTCTTGTCACTTGAACTTTTCCATCATGGTAGGTTACTTTGTAATGCAAACTGAGAAAATTATAGGGTGTGTCTTCTAGGAAGACAGAAGTCACCATTTTACATAATCATGAAAGTAGTGTCATTTTTGCCATGTTCTTTTGATTAAAAGCAAGTCACAGGTCACCCAGCATAGTGACACATGCCAACAATGTCAGCACACTGGGAGGATGAGACAGTAGGGTCACAATTTGAAGCCCAAGTTGAGCAATTTAGCAATTTAGCAAGATTCTATTTTAGAATTTTAAAAATTTCAAATGGGCTGTGGATGTAGTTCAGTGTAAAGACCCCTTTCTTGGGCTGGGGATTTAGCTCAGTGGTGTAAGTGCCTGCCTGGCAAGTGCGAGGTTGTGAGTTTGATCCCCGGTACCAAAAAAAAAAAAAAAAGACCCCTTTCTAGTCCAGGTGTTATGGTTGATACATTGTGTCAATTTGAGCAGCATAGAAGTTTAACTCAGAGATTCAGCAGGGAGCCAGGGTTCTTAATTTATAAGTATCCTCATCCTGTGCAAAGAGGACAAGGAGATTTTGTGAGTGCTATGCTGGCCTTGGAGAGGGGAGTGGTCTGTGTACAACATAAACCAGAAAAAGAGGTTTGTTTTCTCCTTTTGCTCTGGCTGCTCCCTTGAAGTGCTGCCCCTGTGCCATGCCACCCTGCTTTGGAACCAGCTGGTTACAGATTGAAACTTCCAAAACTGTAAGATAAATAAACCTTTCCTTCCCTAATTTCATCAGGTATTTTGTCTCAACAACTAGAGAAAAGTAACCAAAACACTCAGTGAGGGAAGCAGCAAATTATAAATTATCTCCAGGGCATTATACAAATGAATGAATATCATGAATATCAGGAAGTGGGGATCTGTAGAGGTCATTTTAGAATTTACCTGCCACTTAAGGGGCAGCCATCTACCCAGCTCTGCAACAAAGGAAGAAGTGCAGAGAGATAAGAGAAATTGTGATAGTAATGATCATGTTTGTTATACCCTTGCTTTATCCTAAGCAATGGACGAAGCATTTCACATGGTTTTTTTGTTTTGTTTTGTTTTTTGGTACCAGGAATCTACCATGCACTTGCAAGGCAGGCATTTACACTGCTGAGCTAAATCTCTGGCCCATCACATGTATTATTTCTTTGACTCTTTTAAAAGAATTTTAAGAGATAAAAACTTATTGCCAGAGTCACAGAACTAGTAAGTGAGTAAAACAGGTATATGATCAAGGTCTGTGTGACTCCTAGTTAATCTTTTAACCTCCCTACCAAGAGCCTTCCCAAGCACCATAAGGCAAGTCTGGGGGCTTTGGCCAAGTGCCACGAGCTATGTCAGGACAGTGTATATGCTTCTCTTTATTATAGTTGTTATTATTGTGTTTTTGAAATACTGGGAATTGAAACTAGTGAGAACTGAGTTACATCCTCAGCTCTTTTTATATATTTTATTTTGAAACAGGGTCTTATAAGTTACCTAGAATTTATGATCTTCTGGCTCAACCTCACATGCAGCTGGATTATGGCCATTTTTTTAGACATTGATCTTCTATTGACATGGAAGAATCAGAAAAGAGTACCAATTGGAAGGAACAGAAAAAAGTGCCAGAAACAGTTTTGTTTTTCTCCTCAATATACGCTGGGAACCCAGGAAATACAATCTGTATCCCTTTGATTAGTTGGAAAGAAATCATGTGTAGCTGCCTTTCCTACATGGAAAACAGAATAGAATTTATGGGGAAAATGTATGCATCATGTCCATTTTTCGTAGGGGTACGAAGATGTTAATGTCACAGAGATTTTGAAGCTACATAACATGACTATAAAAAGACAAAAAGTATTCAACAAACACCTGATTTCTCCAAACAGGACATTCTTTAAAAGAATCACTAGGGCCAGGGATATAGCTCAGCGGCACAGTGCTTGCTGCCTGGCAAGCGCAAGGTCTTGGGTTTGATTCCCAGTGTCTTAGTTACTGTTCTCTCTTGTTGCTGCGACATAATACCTGACACTTAAACTTAGGAAAGGAAAAGTTTATTTCTTATGGTTCTTTGAGGTTTCAGTCTACTCAGTTGGCTGCAAGGCAGGGTGGCAGAGCTGAGAGGCAGCCCGTTCATGGCCTCTCCACACAACAAGGTGCTAACTGGCAAGTGAGAGAGGACAGCCTTCTTCCTTCCACTACACTGTATGTTGGCTTCACCCTGGACATATAGAGCACTCACACCAGCAATCCCAGTGCTAGACAACAAACCAATGACAAACGCAAGACTCAGCTGCCTCCATGATAACATGAGGCTTGAGGTAGGCCAAGGGACCACAAACCTGTACCCCCCAAAACCAAAATCAACCAAACAAAAATAATTATTAATATTCACCACATCATCATTAGAAGGCTTGAATTAGATGAAACATATAATGCCAAGAGCATACTTGATGCTCAAGAGATTTTTAGTGGAGCTAGGCTTGGTGGCACATGCCTATAATCTCAGCACTTAGGAGGATTGCCATGAGTTGAAAGCTAGTCGAGGCTGCATATCCTGCACTACATGGCAAGGCCCTGTCTCAGAAAGAGACAGAGAGAAGAGAAGAGAAGAGAAGAGAAGAGAAGAGAAGAGAAGAGAAGAGAAGAAAAGAAAGAAAGAAAAAGTTTAGTGGAAAGAAAAGGGAGAAGGGGGAGAGGAAGACATGAAGGAGAGAAGGAGTAAAGGAGGGAAATGGAAGGAAAGAGGGAGAGAGAAGGAAGCGAGGAGACTACCAATTAGTTGGAGTGTTAACCTGTATATTTTTTTCATCTTTCTCCTTCAGCCAAAGAGTTTAATAAGGAATGTAAATGCCTAAAGGAGACATTCTTATGTAAGCTCACACGTGTCCAGCTGAAATTAAATTAAAAAGTCAACAGGAGACGCCTCAAACCATGAAGTTACACATAAACAGAGAGGAATTTCTTGGCTTGTATTTTTCCCCATGTGAAAAGAAAACAACAACAACTAAGTTACTTTAAGAACAAATGTTTGGGTTGGCAAAGGAGGAGAGTATTCATGGTGCTTATGACCAGGGTAACTTGGGAGAAACTGTCAGTAGTTAGAGTCAGAAAATCAGCATAGGAATGAATACGTTGGCCTGAGTCCTGCCTGGCTCAGACGCTCTGAGTCACTTCAGACGAATCAGTGTTGCATTCTTTGTGCTTTGGTCCTTTAGCAAGTTAATGTTCATTGAGGTTGGCTCCCCACACACATTTTTTTCACTTTAAGACTATGACTTTTATTGAGGTTAGCTCTTGTATGG